TTGAATTGGTTCAGAGATTTGAACACCTTTTGTCTCTCCGTCTATTTGTCTCTGTAGAATTGCTTTTCATCGTTTTTATTTTTCTTATTTATGTCGTCAATGAAAGGAGGATAATGATATTCAAAGTCTTATTTGTTCGTGTGGCATCCCTTTTAGTAGATTATAAAAACCCTGATAGCAACTAAAGAGCAGTTTACAAAATACAGACAGATTTAGTTAGGGTTACATTTTTCAGAATAACACTTATGTTTGTAGTTTGTTTTTATTTGTCGCACACGAGTAGCACTCTATTTCTATAATAGAAAACCGTTGTGATCGTTTGTGTCAACAGCTTGTTGTGATTTAACCAGCCAGGCTATTTATTCACTCTTTTATTACTCAATCAAACACTTTGTTCGTTATGTATTTATACATATCATGAGAAAGTGCAATATTAGCTAAACATGCCACTTCTTTAATTGTCCTACTCTTCCAATTTCAAATCTCACGGTTGTTTCAGGTTCATTAATATGAAAGAAGTATAGATAATTTCATGAAATAGCCCAGTGTGAGGGCACTAGAATGAAGCTAAATCGAGGTAAAAGTGTACAAATCACAGTTAATATAATATGCATTTTGTTCAAATCATGCCTGTTATGATTAGTATTTCTTTTAAGTTTGTCTTCCAGTTTTACATTAAGACTACTGGTCAAATTGGGGAATATAAATATAGTTGATGAGCTTTTCAGGGTTTTATTGAACCCTGCAGATGCTCCTTTTTAATCAAATGTCTCTGAACTTTAATCGTTTTGTTCTTCATATCATGTGACACACTGATAAACCCAGAAAATCCCTCCTCTCTGTTTCTCATTATCTCTCTAACGACCAAACATGCAACCGTGTGAGTGAGTTAAACCTGGAGTCAAAGTAACTTCCATTGTTAGATCTAAATCAATGACATAAATAACAATAACTGATGTAAGTGTGAATGTAGCGACGAGATGATAATTATATCGAAGCATTGTTTTATTTATTTTATTTTCTTATGTTTTTAATCATTGATTAGCTGGTGTGTCGAGGGGATGTATAGAATTTTAGATGTGATACATTTTGACAATGAAGTGGCAAAATGGCAGACCTGCTGTATATACACGCAGTGGCACAGTACATAGAGACGTTAGAGGTGTTCTGTTTTAGCATGGACTGATGATGTTGTTGCGTCTGTCAGGCAGCCGTGTGGGTAAATGAAATGTCTGATGTACTGATGTAAAATAAATGTTTCTGTTGCTTCGGAGCCTCTTCCCTTACTGTGAGTTTCTTTGATTAAAAACGTGGAAAGTTGAAATGAGAGGAGGGCTGCAGTGGTCCGGTAAGCCCACTTGTTTCCAAATCCCATTGGAGCAAATAAAAGCATTATAAAACATTTGTATAGTCAGGGGTGCACATAACTGGTACGCAGGTACGCATGCGCGGCAACAATCTGAAATGCGTAACGTCACTTGTGTCACAACGCGCCTTTGCGTACCTGATAGGTCATCAAAACAAAACACATATTTCGCCTACACATGTTTCTTGTCAATACTCAGTGGAGTAAATTATTAGACATGTCCAAAAAAAACAAAGACATTAAGCAGCCACTTTGCCGTTTCGCTCCCTGCTAAAATCTTCAGACTTTCTATGACTGATTGAACTGGGTGCTGGCCGTGCCGCGCAGGACATAACCGACGGACCTGTGAAGCTTCACAGGAGGCAGAGGATCACTGGACGACAGAGTTGGTCGCCGTGTGCACAGACGGAGCTGCTGTTAACGTCGGTGTGTACAACAGAATTGTACCAAAACTACGTCAACTGGCTGCGGTGGGAGACTCCCCTGTGCACATTCTGTGCCCCGCGCACACACTGGAGAACTGCGCAAAATCAGCTGATCACAACGTTCACGCTCTGTGGTCAAGCTGCTGCAGTTTTATTTACAACAAAGTGGAGTAAAACACACAGCTGCAAACTTACTCAGGCTGTTAATGGAAGAGTTTGAAATCAGACAGAGGTGGAAGAAGTGTTACTCAAGTAAAATTAGAAAAGTATTATCATCAAAATCTAGTTAAAGTAGCGACAGTAAAAGTAGTCATTTTGCAGATTGGTCCATTTCATAATAATGTATATGATATGTTTTATAATTATTGATCATTAAAGTGTTTAAAAATTAGTTTGAATGACTTTGTATACTGCAGGGTAGCTTGTGGATTTACTCCAGGTGGAACTAAAGTCTGATTTAACACTTGATTATATTTTCACATCATTCATCCACATCTGTAAAGTAACTAAAGGTATTAAATAAATGTAGTGGAAGAAAAGTACATGATTTACCTCTGAACTGTAGTGGAGTAGAAGTACAAAGTAGCATAAAATAGAAATACTCAAGTAAACTACAAGTATCTTAAATTGTACCTAAGTACAGTACTTGAATAAGTGTACTTTGTTACTTCCCACCTCTGAAATCAGATATGACTTCAAGTCATGTGATAATTTCTTAGTATTTGATCCTTCAACTTGGCCTCAGGAAATGCAAGGACTTCACAGTTTTGGCAACAAGTTTTGGAGAAAGCAAATTGGAGGCTTACAAAGAGACAGGGAGGTGCATCTTCATCATCTTCATCATCTAGCATGCAAGAAGTGTAAATAGAGGACAGTGAAGGAGACACTGAGGAGGACAGTGAGGAAGACTGCACTTATTAACACCACGCTTCATGTGGGGTGAGTACCAAACGCTGTCTCCTGGTACTCATCTGAGTAACTCACTCAAAAAGTTATGTGCACACCTGTGTATAGTACAGGGTGTCCGCGAGGTCTTAACAAGTATTAAAAGTTGATAAATCAATTTAGCGAAAATTAAGGCTATTAAAAAGTATTAAACGGCATTTTCCAAGGTATTACATTTTGTAGCTTGTTTTCAATAAGTATATAAATTGTCCAAAGAGGTTGTATTCTACAGTCTGCCTGAATGTAATCATTGCGTAGGTGTGTATTGTGATTCTGTGTAGTTTATTTATGGCATCCGTTGGATTTGACGTCATCTGAACAGGACATCGCACGCTCACTGCTTGATAGCGCGCGAAGGTCCGTTTACGCCGGTTGTTAAACAACATCGTTATGGGGAAATGCAAGTCTGCGTCCAAATGGTTGGAAGATAAGGAGGAAGGACAATCAATACTGTATATAGTAAATGTGCGGTAAAGTGTGTCGCCAATGTAACCGGTTAAAACTCCAAGTGGCGATGAGGTCTTAAAATGTATTAAATTAAAAATTAAAAAAATATAAAAATTAAATTCTAAAATAAATAAATACTTAAAACGTGGTGCCTCCTGACCTCTGTTCTTTACCCCTGGTCCTAATGGTCACCCTAGTCTACAGGGAAAGCACTCTTAGGTGCATATTCCTGTTTCCTACTTCTTATTTCCTACCCCTTTTTCCAAACTATTTTAGGAGAGTGCATGTACGTAGACCTTTATATATACAGTCTATGACGTAAACACGTTGTGCCTCTTCACTTTTACTCTCTAAGGGTCAAAGTTCATATGGCGAGGGATTCCTTTGCGCGATATGCACCGGCCCGTGCCTTACCTTGGACTTCTAATAGAACTGCTCGGGTCTTGATAGATTGAGTGGGGAAGTTCAGGAGAGATTTGTAGAATGTAAAAGGTAAAAGGTATTACATTTGACTTCAGGATTCCTGCATATACCCTGTAGTAACCCTGCCTTAGACCTGTTTACATATTTTGATTTGGACATTTAGTGGAACTTCTCTTTAAAAAATGTGATCTAGAGTAGGTAAAAGTTGCTTACTCAATCCAAACTGCCAATCATTTGGCCATATTAAGTAATTTATTATAATAATCAGCATAAAAAATAAAGTGATATTTATTGGAATGTGAAGTTGAATGTAAACAGGGTTGATGTTATAATGAATGTACACCAAAGCATGAAAAACAAGAAAACAAATGGGACGAGACCACTGCCCTGTGGAACACCACGATAAATTGCGTCTGACTTTTTAATTTGATAAAGTTATAATGCTACTAATCATTAAAAGGTCAAGTTTATCTGACACAAAATTCCTAACTACCGAGTAACCAACGAGACATTTTAAAAATAACAAAGTGTGCAAAAACAAGCTGTCCTAATGCTAAAGAACAATGTGAGAATAATAGTGCAAAGATTCGCTTTACACAAATTATAATGAAAAGTGTGTTAAATGTGCATAAAACTACATAAAGCTTTTTTATAAAACATTTAAATAAATGGGTATTTCATGTTACAAAAATGCTGAATAATGGTGTCAAGGGAGGCGTGTGGTGCAGTGGTTTGTGCGTTGGTGTTCGGATCAGGGGGGCACAGGTTCAAACCCCACTGCAGTCAGCATGTAGTTGTGTCCCTGGGCAAGATACTTCACGCCAAATTGCTCCTGTGGGGATTGCCCACAGTATTGAGTATGTAAGTCGCTTTGGATAAAAGCGTCTAACAAGTGACATGTCATGTAAAAGATAAACTTCTACCTAAAAAGCAAAACCAAACACTTTAATTGCTTTTTTTTGAAAAGGCTGTAATCAGGATATAATGTGTTTATAATGTGCATGGAAACATGATGACGGCTTGATATCCAAGTTGAATGGCTTTTCTTCAGTGGTCACATTAGATTACAGCAATACAAGTGTCTCAAGTGTTCATTATAAGAAGATATTAAAAGGCTACAGTTAGCACCTCGAAGAGCACAGTGAGTGAGTGTAACAGTAGAAAGAGCATAGCCTGGCATGGTCTTAATCTGTCTCCACATACCAGCCACTGCCTGATATGGTGTGTGTGTGTGTGTGTGTGTGTGTGTGTGTGTGTGTGTGTGTGTGTGTGTGTGTGTGTGTGTGTGTGTGTGTGTGTGTGTGTGTGAGAAACCTGATGCCCACCCCCCAACTCAATTCAGTTTGGGGGGGCGTGTTTCTCTCACTCAGGATGACTTTGCTGCAGATGGTGAGGTTTCTGCCAACACACAAACACAGCAGGCGCTTCTTGTGTGAAAAAAGAGGAATGGAGTGAGCAAGAGGAAGACTGAGGAACTGGAGGGTGAAAAGGTAGAGACACACTGTCCTCTCCCGGCAGATTTGGTATCAACGCTCAACTAACGACTTTCTCTCCTTGGATAGGAACTTTTTTCTTGAACTGATTGACCTCGATGTGACTTCTTGATCTCAACTTTCAAATGTGTTTTCAGTGTCGACATCTGTGTATTTTTCTCGCTATTCAACTGGACAACAAAGATTGCTCAAACTGTTTCCCTGACACCCTGAGGAGGGTATTTCCAGAATCTGAGACACAGTGTTGCTGTCTTTGGTCTCTACGGTCAACAGCTTCATACAAAACTTACATAACATCTTAAGTCATTTAAATCCTGGGGAATTAAATGCAGTATCTTTTGTAAAGCTATTTGAAAAATACCATTATTAGGCCTACTAGCATTAATAATTGTTGATTTTCTTCATTAGAAACATCTGAAGATCAGCCGGCTCTCCCTTGGAGGACTCTTTGGTTGTTGGTGCTTTACTCAAAGTTCCATAACTGGATTTCTGGAAAACGTCAGAGAACTGGATTTGTTCATTGAGAAACAAATGGATTTTCAAACAACTTGGGCAAGCAGAAAGACCAGATCTGAAGAATGAACATCAACTGCCTCCAACTCTTTAATGACTCTTTAATTGCAAACTAAGCGCCAACAGACCAAACACACAACGCTTATCAGCAGATGGAGAGAACGGTGAGTCAACGGTTTTTTCCAGCTTTTAACTAATATAATGTTTTGGTTTAGTTTTTTATGAAGGTGTCCTGTGTGGGATTTTTGTCATGTATGTTCCATATAGTCTATCTATGGTGTCTTCCCCTTCATTGTCGAGTTGTGTGTTGCCTGTCTGTGTTATTGCATTTCTCATGTTTTTGCTCATTAACGTCAAAGCATTTTTCAGAACGTTTTTAACAAGTCCATATTTAGAGTTTACTTTTACTTGAAATCTATTGAAAGTCAGGGCACTGTATTTCTTAATTAATGTTAACACTTATCAAACTAAGGTCATCTATCAAAGTGAACATTTAGTGCAGTTTGTTTTATCAACATAACTTTAGTTATTAAAATAGTAATTAACAAACACTTATATTAAATGCAAAACTGACCTTCCACTACAGATCATTACAGACACATGCAGACAGACTTTATTGTACTTTTTCGAATATAAAATTATGCGGCAGTCATCTAAAATATTGCCGTTTTATAGAATAGGAAAACCATAAAAACATGGAGCTATATCATGTTAACTCATTGTAAAAATCATATAGCTTTCATGAATAGTTATAACAGAAGATTTGAATTCCTACCTTAACCCTTATGTTTGTGTTGGGGTCTCCCGTGACCCGTTTCAAGTTCAAATTATATAATAACTACGCTCTAGTTTTTTTTATCGGAACAAGGCTTCATGATATCCGCCACAACAGATATATCAACACTACAAAACTGATTTTGACAAAAGTCTGAAGGTCTCTAAAAAAAAAAGTGTATAATTTGGTGTTCGAGTCTGGGGAGACCCCGACAGAATTGTTGTGGGTGACTCGGGGTCAAATTTGAGCCCAATCAAGATTCATCTTTGACTTTAGACACCCCACCCCCCACCCCTTTCAGCCACTGTAACAATAATTTGTTCGCAACATGCACCTGGTCTCCCCTCCCTCTGCCCCCCTCCCCCCATGGGAATCAAAAGAATATGTACACTAACACTTGAACCTGAACACACACATGCACGTGTGCAATATGTGGTGTAATGTGTTTTGGGCCATAACATAAAATTACAACAGGATTGCACGGTTATGAATGCATAACAAGTTAGTTGTGATGTAGTTAAAACAATATTGGATGATAGTCATTATTTTTGAGTGTTTTGGACTGAGATAAATCATGGGTCAAAATTGACCCGCGAACACCATGAACGGTAACAGCTTTCAAACACAACACAAGGGTTAAGGGATACCAAAAAGGGAAACAGGACTTTAAGGATAAGTGAACATGAACAATCTGACACTAACATGAAGTATGTTTTTCAAACTAGCGAGCAGTGACTCAAGTTTATGCAGTTTATAACTATTGGTCTAAAATGTGCAAAATCACAATGCCTGTTTGCTATCCTGGCTCGGATAAAATCATTGAAAGAGCTTCTAATTGAGAGGAGGGCTGGTTTCCACTGCAGCATGGCCAATAAAATATAACAAACAGATAAGTAAAAATAAGATAAAAAATAACCCCTCTTATTTGTATTCAATTGATGAGGATATTATTGATGAAAACCGGATTATTTCTCAAAATGTACAGTATGTTACAGTAATAATCCTTAATATCCACGGCTATTTGAATGTATAATAATAAAGCTTTATTTATATAGCACTTTTCATACAACTCATGCAGCTCAAAGCGCTTTACAAAATGACACATCACGTTAAAATCAAACAGGCCTGATGAATCAAAGAAATTCCCCTCAGATTATTTGTTAAGAACTTTAAAAGGTGCATGCCGCAAAATATAACATGTTATCAGGTTAATAGACACAAGGAAGTAAAATGTATGATAATAAAAATAAAATAAAATAAATTATGGTTTCTCTCTGACAGATAAGACACTGAGTCGATGCAACAATATAAAATATAAATAATGTATAACTGCAGTCCCTCACAAACACATTTGGCTGATCAGTGTGTTTATTGAATCATTTCTGAACAGGAGGAGGTGAAGTGTGGCGGAGCGGCCATGTCGCTGCCGGGGGAGCTGGGCAGCCTGCAGGGTGGGGGGGGAGCCGAGGGCGAGGTGGGGCTGTCCTCTCTGGAGAAACAGCTGATCTGCCCCATCTGTCTGCAGCTTTTCAGCAAACCCGTGGTGATCCTGCCCTGCCAGCACAACCTCTGCAGGAAGTGTGCCAACGAGCTGTACCAGGTCAGTGACACGGGGGGGGGGGGGCACTGCTGATGTGTACTGTGGTGTAAGGAGTACTTATACTTAAAGGGGCTGCTCATTTTCAGGTTCATAATTGTATTTTCTGCCTCTACTGTGACATGCTTACATGCTTTAATGTTCAAAAAGCTCTTTATTTTAGAGATGGCCTGTCTCTTAGCCTATCACGTATACAATGTGTTGGAGCGCTAGCCAATAGAAGCACAAGTGTTACATAGTGATGTCATAAGGACTACAATCGAGGCATTTCAGGCAGGGGGGGGGGAGTGTGTGGGAGAGATGGAGACTGTACATATAAAGCTGGATCACACTTGTCTTTCGTCACACACTTTTTATACCATGTGTGTAAGTGGGTGCAGTGGATTATCAGTTTCTAAATTAAGATGTGTGGATGGTTTAAACTCCATTGTTCTTGTACTTGAAAATCACCTGCTGAGAGCTATATTTACTGCTACTGATCAGTGCGTGTGTGTGTGTGTGTGTGTGTGTGTGTGTGTGTGTGTGTGTGTGTGTGTGTGTGTGTGTGTGTGCGTGCGTGTGTTGTGTGTGTGTGTGTGTGTGTGTGTGTGTGTGTGTGTGTGTGTGTGTGTGTGTGTGTGTGTGTGTGTGTGTGTGTTTCACATGTTTGATTCCAAATATTAGTTCATAAGTTATTTTGTCCCACTTAACACTGCTTTAGTGGTATGCAACTAAACGTTTATTGTCGTAAAAACGTTTGAGGTTCATTAGTCAGCTACATTTCAGAACAAATATATTGTTTATTTTTACCCAATGTAATTTATCTGACAGCTGTAGTTACAAGTTACTTTGCAGTAAGAATTGACTCACAAAAAACACTAAGCTTATAAATCCTCAGATCATCATGAATGTCTGTAGAAAATGTCAGAGCAATCCATCCAATATGTGTTGAGATGTTTCAGTGTGAACCAACGTATTGGACTGAGAAATGCTATACATAGAGCTACACAAGAAACATGACTTTTCTTCCTGTACTACACGAAACACATTTGAGTGGACTTTAAATGAACTCAGATTTAGTTTTTCTGGGTCTTTATCACCCCCAACTTCTGTAGTTTTATTATTTCCAAACCTGATGAGCACACACATTTTGTTCCAGTAATATGTTACCATCCAGCAGAGCTCACATGCACGGCCACACACACTCTTTACAAGTTTACAGGTTTGTGTGGGTTTATGTATAAGTGGTATGTGAGATGGAAATCTAATAGACTTTACTTTAACTGCCATGCTCATGTTCATGACATTTGATACCAAGAAGGCTGTCCTGAAGAACACACACACACACACACACACACACACACACACACACACACACACACACACACACACACACAGCCTTGCATAACAGCTACTAATCTTCCCTCATTGCTCAACTTTTTAATATAATTTGGAAACAAATTTGTATCATTCAAGTGTAATTGCCAAGTAGGTTACTCACATACAGTACAAGAAATCAACAATACAGATAAGATATTAAGAGAAAATAAAATATAGGAAAAGTACTACCATAGTCAAGAAACATAAATATAGAATACAAAAATAACTAAAAACACAACCAAAATACTTAGACATAAACAAATATGTATAATATAACTGTACCAGTGAGAACAAATAAATGTTGTTGGTCTAATAACATTTGACGGTTTTAAATGTTTTGCTAGATAATCTTTGTAAATTCAGAAAAATTAAATGTAATCTGTGAAAGATATAGTTTTGCCAGGATGCTTCAAAAATGTGTTCAAATCATTTCCATATACAATACTCTGTTGTAACATTTTGACAACAATCGGCTGATGCGCAAGACTACCCCATGTTCTCAATTGGACTTAAATAATTTATGTTTTCTTTACATGAGTATTACAATAACCACAGATGACACATTTATAATAATGACAAAAACGTGCAGGACATAACAAAAGATAAGCTGTACTTTATTGTCTCTGAGGGGACATTTGTTTCTCTCCAAATCTGCTAGACATAGTGCAACCAACGTGAAACAATACAGAAACCCTGAATGCAGAAACCTTGATGAAATGTTGGCATTTTCAGAGACAAGGTAGATATTATTATTGTGTAGAAACAAGGACTTTGTAACACAGATTAACGAGGTGAAAAGTGCATTATACAGTATAGCAGAATATTTTGAGCAGGATGTATGCTCGTTTTCTTTGACTGTCAAATCGTGTGACTGTTGACACAGCTGATATAAATCCTAACATGATAAAGCCTCTCTCTCTCTCTCTCTCTCTCTCTGATTGTCTCTCCCCCCCGCTGATCCCTGGTCAGGCAGCAGCAGCTGAAGCTTATTACCGGGAACTATTTCAGGATCCTCGTCCTCTAACCTTCCCGCCGTCTCTCTGTCCCTTTCTACACATACATCTGTCCTCCCCTAACTCTCAATTCTCTAAATCTTTTTTCCGCTTCTGCTCGGTTTTCTCTTGTGATCTCTCATTGCATGTTACTATCTTTAACCACTGAACTTCCCATTCATACTACTGTATCTGTCTAAAGTTAACTTACTAAAGTAAACTAAAACGTTTAGCTGAAAGACAATATCTTAAACTTTTGTCACTTGAAATCATGCTAACTACTGCTGGAGTAAGTAGTAGTAAATACATGATTGCATTTGAAGTGTCTCATGTTTGTAGTGATTGAGAAAAAGTCTTGCAATTAGTTTGATTTGATTTGACTTAATTGTCAAACTACAGAAATGTGATTTTAACTGCTTTGAGAATAAGATCACATCAGAGGAGGTCGACATCACGTCAGCTAGCTCACTGAAGTTACTGTAAAGTACCTGACCATTGGGGAACTAGCTAGCCACAGCTTCATATTGTTTATCTTGGTTTGATTACACATTATAAAAGCATTTTTATAAATGGGACCTATGTTGCCCTAAGTGTTACTCTAGGCCTGGTTTAATATCTAACTCAAGTGTATTAATGTAGTTAAGGGCTCCTTGGTCTGGAAAAGGTTTAAGGAAACTGATTATAAACGATAGGGAGTGAACATTATTCTGTGTATGTCTATGTGTGTCTGGTCTTGTTTTACCCAGTTACCTGTCCTAAACTAACTTTGACTTCATCCAGACATTTGGAAGACTTTACTCCCTCGTTGACCCCGACTGATATTAACATTGTTGCTAATTATCTAATACCAGCTAGCAGCTGTGTTGTAAGACAGCAAACCTCCAACTGTTGGGTGTTGACAGTCAGCAGTGGAGGATTAAAGAGAGCTGAACAGTCCTTTCTTCAAATAAGTAATGACATCATTTAATATAACTTCTTTCTGTGCAGCCCTCCCTCTTCAGCGCTCGTACCACCATGCAGGTGAGCAGCGGGCGTTTCCGCTGTCCCTCCTGCTCACAGGAAGTGATTCTGGATCGGCACGGGGTCTACGGCCTGCAGAGGAACCTGCTGGTGGAGAACATCATCGACGTCTACAAACAGGAACTCAGCAACAAAAGCAACGCCACAAGGTGAAGAGAGACAAGAATCATGATGTAAAATACACTTCCATGCACAGTGAAGGTCCTTCTGAAGTGTGATAGGTTACAGATTACTAGTTACCTCGTTGTAACGTAATACATCATTTCATTATTTAAAGATTTGAAATTCCACTTGTAGGTACCAGCTCGAAAACGCTGATACTGTCATACATCTTAAAATTCACCAATAAAGCTTATATTGCCAAAGGATTGATCTAATGTTGACAAAAGCAACAAACTTCTATTTATAAATTAGCAGAATTGACATGCTTTCTTGACAAGGAAACCAATATAGTTCCCTTGAACACAAAGACACTCATCCCTTATCCCCTTAATGTGGCAAGAAATGTGTAAAAATACAAGAACCATATAGGATTATCCCAGCACTCATGCTAAGTTATTGATTACTATGCAGTATAATAATATTTCAATAGTAAACATCTCTCTGTCTCTGCAGCTCCCTCCCCCCTCCTCCCCCGGCTCCTTCTGATCATGTGACCTGTTCGGACCATGAGGGGGAGAAGGTGAACATCTTCTGTCTCACCTGTCAGGTTCCCACCTGCTCGCTGTGTAAAGTGTTCGGGGCTCATCAGGCCTGTCAGGTGGCTCCTCTCTCTGACGTCTGCCAGCAGCAGAAGGTATCTGATACTCTAAATACTGTACTTCTAAAAAACCTATATATTTTTTTTTTGGGGTCATTGTCTCTTTTGTTCTGTGGTTTTTGCTATGGTTGTTTTAAGTGTAATCAGGCATTGTATCATCTTATGTCTTTTGAGAATAAAAGGGAAAAGGCAAAAAATAGTTAAAGTCCTAGGACCAGGTACATTACAGATGTATTAGATGATTATATAACTTAAGGCTGTAAATACCTCCACATCATAAGTCTTAATAACATCTATTTTACTTGCTTCTGTTTCCCAGGATGATCTGAGTGAAGCGGTCAGTTCTCTGGTGGCCTTCAGCGACAAAGTCCAGGCTTTAATCAATAAGCTGGAAGAGACCTGCAGGATCATAGAGGTGTGTGTGTGTGTGTGTGTGTGTGTGTGTGTGTGTGTGTGTGTGTGTGTGTGTGTGTGTGTGAGTGTGTGTGTGTGTGTGTGTGTGTGTGTGTGTGTGTGTGTGTGTGTTACCAATTTGTGTGTTCAAAATGTGTAAAAAGTTTGGATTTATGTTTTACTTAGTCACACAAGATTAATCCGCTGCTGAAAATAGTCCCCAACAAAAAGAGCATTTGTTGGGGACTATTTTCTCTTCAAAAGGTCTTCAAAAGTGTTGTTTCTGTGTGTAGAGGCTAACCCATGCTGTCTGCCTGTCTGTGGTAACAATAACACTGTAAAAGTAAATGAATATGCTAAAACTCTCATGTATTTGACTTTGTTTACTCTCTCTGCAGGAGAATAGTAAGGCTCAGAAACAGAGTGTGTGTGAGAAGTTCAACCGAGTGAATTCAATCCTGGAGGAGAGACGAAAGGTCAGTTTTTCTTCTTTTCTTATTGTTTATTAATGAATGTCTGTGGTGGCCCTGATAAACAGTGATTGTATTTAACTGTATATAAGTACAATGTTGACATTTTTCTTCCACAACTGCTGATAAACCCCATTTATATAGACATACTTAGCTCTAGTACTTGTAGCAGCGATAGGAGTAATAATGGCAAAGAAATGGAAGCAGTTACAGTCGTAGCAGGGCTGAATATATTCACATGAAAAAGAGTAAAAATTTAAATTCAACATGTTGACAGACTTCTTGTGTATTTTAGATTACAATATAGTTTTTTAAAAGTATATTTAAAAAAAAAAAAAAGATAATGATCGTTTTTTCTTACATGCTGATACAGTATGCAGTACATTATAAACATTCAAAATGTCAATACGTTTTGTGTGTACAAATGTTGTGTAATGTCAGCAAGTAGCAGCAGTAATAGTGCTTGCATTTGTATATTATTGTCTTCATCTTTGTTATCATTGCAGGTGATGATGCAGCGAATCAGCTCGGAGCAGGAAGAGAAAACAGGCCACGCCCAGGCACTGATGCGTTGCTATGGAGACAGCGTGGAGGCCAACAGCAAACTGATGGAGAGAGCAACGAGCAGCATGGAGGAGCCTGACATGGCCGCCTTCGTTAAGGTGTGTGTGTGTGTGTGTGTGTGTGTGTGTGTGTGTGTGTGTGTGTGTGTGTGTGTGTGTGTGTGTGTGTGTGTCTGTGTGTGTGTGTGTGTGTGTGTGTGTGTGTGTGTGTGTGTGTGTGTGTGTGTGTGTATGGTAGTGTGGCCTAGCATTACCATCCTTGTGGGGACCTACATCTATGTACACAGTCACGTGTGGGGACTGGCTTCCCTTATGGGGACAAAATGGAGGTCCCCATAAGGGGAATCATTAATTTTAGGGTGAAGACTTGGTTAGGGTTAGGGTTAGGCATGTGTTGGTTATGGTTAAGGTTAGGATAAGTCTCCATGTAAGTCAATGTAATGTCCCCTGAAGTAATGTATACATGTTGTGTGTGTGTGTGTGTGTGTGTGTGTGTGTGTGTGTGTGTGTGTGTGTGTGTGTGTGTGTGTGTACATGCATTATCAATAAGATAATGAATTCAAATGTAATTTCCCCCCCTCCCTTTGTTTCTCCCTGTATTGATATACATAACATAGGTCCATAAGATATGTCCTTATATTATAACTCTTTTTTTTTGTACGGCCTATGTGTCTAGTCGAAGGAAATGTAAATAAAAACCTGATTGCCATTCAAAAGTTTGTTTTTTATTCTCTTTTTCTTGAATCTTCCCTTCAGAATTCAAGAGAGCTGATCACAAAGTGAGTATTACAATGGTTTTGTGTTCCCATGATGTATTTTGACATTTTCTGTACCAAACATAATCATTTCTTAAATGTAGTCTACCCTCATTTTTGTGGCTGACATTCCTTCCATTTCCAACAAAATGCAGTTACAGTCTCACTTTGCTACATAGAAATAATTTAAATGTTCTCCTCCGTTCCCCCTCTACCTCCCCAGAGTGATAACAGCGAGCAGCTCCTGTCCGTCAGAGAAACTGAAACCAGGTTTTGAGAGTTTGAGTCACTACACATTTAACTTCAGTCGACAGGAGCGAGCTCTGAAGAGCATCGACTTCTTCAAAGGTGAGAAGAGAGACTGGAAGACACTTTGAAACGTTATCTTTAAAAACGGCTGTATGTTGCACAGGACATATTGCAGCTGCACCAACACATTTCTGTCCACTTTAATTCTACATCTAACAATGTGTTATTTAACATAGCAACCTTCTATATTATTTTAAAAATGAAAAACCCATTAATGGTAATTGACAATGTGATGATATCTGTTATATCCCTTTGTGTGCTGTTTGCTCTTTTTCTCCCTAAATGCGATTAATATATGTTCGCAAGATCCGTCATTTCATTTAAATACACCCTATTAAACACAATTACATTTCTTAAGATGATTAAGGAAAAAATGTTAACCAAATGTTCTGTGTGCTTGTGACGGCTGCACTGAGCGGCAGTCAGACTGTGGGTGTAATATAAACTCAGTAACTCGATCTGCTGAGTTTTTTCATTTGAGGTCTATGGGTCTGCTCCAAAAATAGGTGGTTGCTGCAGGAGGGAAAGAGAGAATGAGTTACATCTCTCGCTCTTGATGTACAAATTAGACTTTAATACGATTTTAAGTAAATAAATACCACACTACTAATACCAGACTGTTTTTAAAAAGTAAAATGCCTGCATTTAAAACCTTACTTAAGTAAAAGTATGTAAGTGTTATCAGCAAAAAATGTATTTAAAAGTATGAAAAGTGAAAGTAGTCACCCCTGTGATCCCCTGTTTTACTATAATGGTTGCTGTTTTTTTTTTGTTCACTTTAATGTTGCCTTTTACTGCGGTGGATGTTTCAGGTTGTGCTTATTAATTCATCAACAATTGTATACTGTAGCTGTCCTGTCAGAACTACATATCTCTTAAAAAAGCCAACTTTTGATTAAAAAAACAGCCCTGTTTTGTGAGGAAGCATTATCACGCTTACATAATTATGTTAATTGTGTGCTTTTAACTAGCTGCACTAACACATGCAGTAATATTATACGATTTTATCCATAAATATATAAAATGTTCTAATATTAGTTATCTCTGTAACCTGGTAGAGATAATGTATTGTAATAGATGGAGTTTATAGATAAAGAACAATAATATTTATCCAATTCAATCTTAATTAAACAAGACTTTTATTATGTCCAAACACCCATTCAGTCTCAGCAGCTTGTGTTGTTCTTGCAGTTGTGGAAGACGTACCTGAAGAACCCAAAGTAGAACCAGAACCAGAGCTCATTGTGCAGCATGTGGAACCAAAGCACCATCAGGAAACCTCCACCAACAGCCCGCAGTCGGTATTAAAAGCAGTTGAAGAGCCGATCGCAGCACTGACCCCCCCTCCAGAGGAAGCAGGTCTGCTCAGGGGCTTTGAGGAGCCTGAGGGGGAGGTCCTGCAGACGGAGACCCACGACCCGGGAGTAAATGACGCAGGATCGGGTCTGCTGAAGGACCAAACTGAGGAGGAGAAAGAGGACGCTCCTCATCCCGTTAAGGAGGGAAACATCTTTGAAGAGCCGGAGGGGATGAGCACACTACAGGTAACATATCACACCTGCTGTCAAGAAACTACAAAATACTTGTATTAAAGTGTAAACCATCTTAGTTCTTTTGTAAATCTAAAAGGTATTATTGTTTTATACAGACCATGCAGCTGGAGTTAATGTTATAGTCAATGTTCATTTGTAAGTGATAGTTATAAAAGTTTTTTTGAGATGTCAAGTGTTGATTGAAAATGTGTTAGTTAGTTAGAATAAATGAAAAGTACCTTGAATTTGTACTTAAATGCCTCAGTGTACCTCGTTTCATTGCACCGCTGGATACAGTTTCCTTCCTTCTTTTTCTCCACTTTAAAGTATTTCTGGTGCAGCATCATCTCTCTCTGTTCTCGAGTCACTACTGTTTCTATCTGCATTCTATCTCTCATCTCTTTACTTTCCATCTTCATCCATCCCACCCATCTCTCCGTCTCCCTGCAGGCGGTCACTCTGCTCTTCTACCTGCTGGCCTTCCTGGTCATCCTGCAGAGGGTTTGGGCTTACATCGGCTTCTTCATCTGCACATAACACCAGCAGGAGAACATCCACCCTCACTGCGGCTCAGCTCAGGTACAATCTGCCTGGCTTTTATTATGAAAAAAGTAGTTAAACTGCCAATTAACATTTTTTTTTTTTTTTTAAATGCTGGCATGTAAATGATGCAGATTAAGACTATTCTTAATCATTTCTAGTAAAATATTTCTCCAATGAAAATATATAATGTTACACTAATGCTACAATTCATCAGCAACTTCCTCTAAAACACTAAACTGCTAAACTGCTCTGACTATAAATCTATTTCATACTTTCTAATTATATTACAAGAAGAACAAGGTAATAGAAGAAGTATTGAAGTATTGGTATTGACGTCCCAGCCATAATAATGTATACAAAAATGATACATAGCAGTAAAACATAATTAACGCATCATCATTTGAACTTATCACATGTACTGTACCCTGTAATCATTTCAATTCATTTTGGTTTTTTTGCAAATTGATTTCTAAGTCTTTCTCAAGCACAAAGTTGTTACACACCCTTTTCACTAACATCTTGTACTATTCTGCTGTACTTACATATGTGTTTCATTGATACCCAGTTTATACTAAACCAGCCTCTGCTGGCACCTTGTGGTAGAGGCAAGGCAAGGCAATTTTATTTATATAGCACCTTTCAGCACGCGACAATTCAAAGTGCTTAAAAATAAAAACAAAAGACATTCAAGAATAAATACAGCATAAACACATTATTAAATGGCATTTAAAAACAGGCATAAAAGCAAAGATAATGAAATAAATAAATAAACACAGCAGGTACAGAATACATGAATAAAAGGCATACTGCAGTGTGAGTATGAACAGCTAAATTAAAAGCAGCGGCAAATAGATATGTTTTTAGTCTGGATTTGAAAATAGGAAGTGTTTCAGCGGACGTGCATGATTCGGGCAGTTTGTTCCAGATTGTCGGGGCATAATAGCTAAACGCTGCTTTTCCATGTTTAGTTCTTATTCTTGGAACAGAGAGCAGACCTGAGACTCCTGGATAGTTCATAGTTATGCAGGAGATCGTTTATATACCTCGGTCCTAAGCCATTTAGTGATTTAAAAACTAGCAATAGTATTTTAAAATCAATTCTTTGGTCGACTGGAAGCCAGTGTAAAGACTTCAGAACCGGACTGATGTGATCCACTCTTTTAGTGTTTGTAGAACTGTGTACTTTTGATTGTTAACTAAAACAACAACTAGAAAACTAAAAATCATGATGACAGATTAACAACTTTTCTGAAATAGATACTTTTAATGTTGATACTGAAATTAAATATTCATGACATACTTATATACTTTAACTCAGTACGATTCTTTTAATACAGGAGTATTTTTACAGTGTGGTTTGAATACTTTTGAATCAAGAACTTGAATACTTACTCCACCACTGTTGATAGTTCATCGCAAGTATCACTGAGTCTTAGATATTCATCTAAAACCATCTGTTGTCCCTCTTTGCTCCAGATGGAGACTGAGACAGGAAGTCCTGCTCACATCGGTCCTCCTCTCTCCTCCTCTTCCTCCTCTTTCACCCTCATCGAGGCTCCTCATCGACCCAGCTTCAGCTTCTCGTGGCTGAAGACCCTCCACAAGAAGAATGAGAGGAGAGAGAGAAGCTTTTTAGAGGAGAGGTTGTGCTGAGGAAAGAAAGAAAGACAGAAAGAAAGAAGGATGCACTCCGGAGTCAGATTGCTCAGTGGTGCCCTAAGACTGAACGCATATTGTACTTGGATAACACTTCAGAATGAGTGTTAGTTTTTTGAGCAATCTGTTATTTTTAAACATTACTTTAGGTCTGTGTGCCTATAGGGGAAAACACTGACTTGGTTGGGCTCTTGGGTAAACCGATGGAAGAGAAAAATATGTTTCCCTTTCACAACAAAGGTCTTCACAACTTTCAAGATTGTGGTTATATTTATCGTAAACAGAGGAGTACTAACACTGAAGACAAAATGGTAGTTTAGTATTCATGATGGTATTGTAGTAAAGTAGCTGGGGTCACTCAAGTACTGTGTAAGTTTGACAGGTGATGTGTGCCTAAGGTCAGAAATGGGGAGAAGAATAGTTCTTAATGTTAGAAAAACAAATGTTTCAACAGTATGATGGTGAATGTTTTTAAATTAAGTTTAAAGAAGTCCAGTTTGCACCACTTAAAGTGTGTGCTTTTGTATGTCACGTGTCATTCAGTGTGGTTGGTATCTGTATTCCGATTTATTTGCAGCAGGTTTTATGTGTATCTGTGTGTCTGAGCACTTTTTCCTCCGGAGTGTTTGATGTTTTGTAAGCTGGTGTTTTTGCATAATGCAAGACATCAGATGTTTGATTGATAAATGTAAGGATGGAATAAATATTATTTTATTCACGGACACTTGCTCTAATGCACACTTGTTGTAATGTATAAATAATTAAACTACAAAACAACAGCAAAGAAGCCTTGTCTTTCAAAGTCCAACAGGAGAAATGTCCCTAACCAAAAATATTTTGACAACAGCTGTTTCTGTGACGTCATTTGACCATACCGGAAAATAAATACTCAGAATCCCAAATCTGTAAACGGTGAAGAACACAACTTCCGGTTTTGAGGACACGCCTTTAAAATAAAAGCACGAAAACAAAATGAGCTTTTCTGAAGCATCTAAACTTCGTTGCACATTTGAGTTGAATACTTGATTTGAACAGCAGCATCGCTCGCTGAGTTTAAAATGTCTACTTGCTGTCTTGGTCTTAATGAAATCTTAAAATAATTACTACTAGTTATAATAACAATAAAGCAGGTAATGCACTTTGTTAGAAGATACAAATGTGAATGAAATCCGTGTTTCCCGAAGACCAAGATTGTGTCATTAAATCTATTTGTTGTCCAAATATTAAAGATAGAAAGTGTACTGTCATAGAGGAAGAAAGAAACCAGAAACATCTATAAATAGAAAGATAGATTAGATTGTTTTGATTAAAGGTGGGTTAGGTAATTTTGGAGAAACCAGCTCGAGTGCGCAAGAATTTGAAAATACACAGCCGGAAAAAATCTGCCACTTCCTCACAGAGCCCCTCCTCCAACACACACGAACGCGCACATGACCAATGAGGGCACGAGATAAGTTTGTGCACAGATGGAAGGCTGACAGGCAGGTAGGCCATCCAGTTATTTTAGCCGGGCCGGCTAAAATGATTGGTCGTGCTTTTTACAGTACTACGGCTTCTACAGATGAAATTTTTTTATGGATTTTTTGTCAAAGCACTTAAGATATTCATTGCTATCGGAATGTTAAGAGCATTCCATGTAATATAACAAAAAGTGTATCTCGAGCCGATACAAACTCAAACTTTTTTTCTCAAACTTACCTAACCCACCTTTAATATGTATAATTATTTAATTATCATAGACCATTGAGAGGTTGGAATCAGATCAGTTTTCTTAAACATTACATTAAAGTGGACCTATCATGCAATTGTTAGGCAATAGCATAGGTCTCAGATATATAAAAATATATAAAAAACATGTCTATGAAGTGTTTTGCTCAAAATACCAAACAGATCACCCATTCTAGCCATGCCTCATATCCCTCTATTTCACTTCCTGTTTCAAAAGGGCTGATTTGGGGTATAAAGCTTTAAAAAATAAATAAATAGATAAATAAAAAAGGAGGGGGCCGAGCTCATGCGGGACCCGGCAGCTACTGTCTAAACTAAATACTGCCGTGATGAACCACAAGGTGAGTTCCTTTTTATTTCCTGCTTCTTCACACACATGCTCTCCAGTACAGGTTAGCTCTGAGTGTTAGCGATGCTAATGTAAACATCGACCATATTATGTCCAAAACAGTCGGGCATTGTTTCTGATAGCAACGTTTCTGGTAGGGCTGTGGGTGTAAAGCCAGCCTACATTTCCGATATTACTTCATATCGGACGCAAATCTGGATCAGCTCCGTTGTAGCCCCGTTTTTTTGAGATTTGGGTACGGAGGAAAAAAGAGAGGGTTTTATTTTCTGACGCTGCGTGAGTTCCCCGACACACCGGGGACACATGTTTATATATAAAAGACATCAAAAAGTGCATTTTGCATGATAGGTCCCCTTTAATGTATTTATATTTATCCTTATAGTTGGTGATTTATTTAACATAATCAAAATAATAATTAATGTATTAAAGCGTATATTTCAACCTTCGCAGTTCTACTGGTTTATATCTTTATAATGCACAAACACTTATCTTATCTTGAAATTCCTCACCGGATGTGCCTGTGCTCCAGCCGTTAGCTTCACAGAGCTGTTTTAGCTGAGCTGGCTGTTGGGCTGTTTTGAGTTCCTGTCGACGACTTTCTCTGAGTGGGAGCAGTCTCTAAAAACCAGGAAGATTAACACTTCGAGTGGGAAGCGTGTTGAAACAGTATCATATCCACATTTCACACCAGCTGTGTTGAGCTTTTAGCAAAAAAGGAGTTTCAGCTCTGTGGAAGCGACGCCGAAATGGACCCCGCCAGTCAAGGTAACGTTAATTGTTAGCTTAGCAAGTTAGCTCCCGTATAGCTTAGCTTCAGAATTGCGTGGACCTTTTGTCAAGCTGACAGCAAACGGTTGTGATTAATTAAACCGCCGCCACGTAGCTACTTACTCTACCCTTTTGCCGGATTGTTTGTGTGACAGTTTGGATTAGTTTGGAGCTAATACATCATAATAATGGGATATCCGTCAAGACAGGACGGGCCCGCTTGTATAAATGACAGGAGCCCTAAGTGAGGATCGTGTTACTAATGTCAACAACTTCCCCAGCACAATATCATCTGATATGACTGACATTTATATCATTTAATTAAGTGAGGAACAGTGTCATATTTTCTGTGTGGTTTTTCGGGGGTTTGAATCTAACGAGAGGAGCTTCGATCTAGTAAACAATAGGACTTAATGTTGCCTAAGCAAGTGTTAGCAGTTTGTTTTGGGGGGCTTCTCAAAGGGCAACATCAACTTGCCATAATATTGCTTCTTATTTACCTGAATACATGCTCTCAATGTCACTCTTAATCACACTTCCTTAGCTATTAACAGCTAGATGTGCTGACTAACTGAGCATGCATAACGGCATTGTTGCTAGCATGCTAGCTGCTGCTTTATCATTGTCATTCGTGGCTATATTGACAGCTCTTGACCTCCATCTTCAGCTAACCAGAGAGCGTCTTGTGATATTCATCGTCTATTTATTTAGGTGGCTAAAAAGAAAACACAGGTGGTCCTGATTTGTCATTATACAACCCATCCTGACATTGTGCCAAACTGGTTGTTTTTGTTTTAAGACACGTTTCACTTAAGGCAGCAATCACACAGTGTTGGATTGAGACAATACAGCTAGACTATGGGAGTTATGGCTTCAGTATTGTGATCTTTTTTATATTTTCTATAATTTGATTGTGAATAGTAAATCTAATTGAAATGCAACTGAGAGTGTTTAAATAAATAACCGAGGTAAATATGGTTTTAGCAGAATAAAATACCAGACAAACAAGGCATTTCAACACAATTATTGTGTAAAACAATTTTGACAGTAGCAAAATACAGCATTTAGGCAAGTGACATGATTACAATAAGCATACATATGTAAGGAATACAATGTACATTGGTTTCTCCTTTGAGGATGTCCTAATGAGACTTCCTGTGTTTTGGAATAGTGAGTGGCCATGATAGACATGTCATGCTGTATCAGGCTTCCTGTGTCTCAGGATGAGCTCTTATAGGAAACCATTAAGGTGTGCCTTCATTTCCCTGTCTTGAAGTATGACACACTGGAGTGGATTAGGGGCATGTCTGTCCGAATAAAATCCCACTACTGATGTTCCCTAAATGAGGCTGAGCCGGGGACTCTTTCTGACTGATGCATCCTCACATGTCTTTGTTTTAACATTAAAAAAATGGTTGCGTCTAAATGTGTGGTGTGATAACTATTTTGGTTCTCCTGTAAAAAAAAAAAGGCCAAACACAGTTTAAGAAAATCTCCATTCCACAAATGTCAATAATTGGTGTTGCATGTATTGTCAATCTATGTCAATGAGGAAAGAAATATATTTAGTGTTTCAAAATAGAAGTGCCACAGACACTCATTTCTACATCAATATATGCAGGAAATAGACCAGGATGCAATGCAGCAGCAATGTCTTAAGTGGAGGGTGTAGCTGATCAAATACACGCCTCAGTGTTGCACAAACTACTCGGCCTGCTACTATAAAATAGAAGCACATCTTGCCCAAATATGCAAAATAACTTAACTCTTGACTTCACTATTGTTGTCTTAGGGCATTCTGGGAAGTGTAGGAAATCACTTAATTTGTACTTTCCCCTTTTCTGTTCTTGTATGAGCTTGTTTGTTGTCTCTCTTAAACCTGGATGCTGTTGTTTCTGCGGGCGGGGCTGAATCCTTCCTGAATCAATATACCTTGAGGGTGGAACAGCCGAATGTCTTGCGAGCTTGTATGCGGATGTTGTTGAGACACCACATCAGTCACCAGCGCTACCTGCAGATAATGCTAATCTTGGTCTTTTGAAACACTCTTATGTGTTTGTTGATGTTTTTGTGCACTCAGTCGGGTAGACATGGTTGCTGCACTGCTATTATGGAGAAACTCAGTGTTGCATTCAGAACTCCTATCATGCTGAAGCAATGGTTAAGATGTCATGCTAAGCTGCTAAAGGTGAACTAAAGTAAGACTGTTCTTTAAAAGAGGACAGCCCTACACTTCAAATCACTGCCTGTTCGCTGGTTGGTTTGTAAGTGTAGGTCTACTTTTCTTCATAAGAGGTTCGCCCACTGATTAAATGCAATTTCAATGCGGTACTATTTCAGCATAAGTCTATTTTTACCCATTGTTGCAGAAAATTGTTCCAGTTTGTTTGTTCCCCTTTGTTGTCCTCCATGCCAGCTCTGACTGCCAAACTCCTTTATCTGCCAACATTATGAAGTTGGCTTCGTTTGAATGACACTACATGTACTCTTTGTCATATAAAGGTTGACATATAAAAGCTAGGTTTCAAACTGTCATTTAACCTCAGGATAACTTAAGGTTTATACAAGAATTGATCATAGCTCGGTGTTGTTCTTATTGGGTATCGTTTCGTCTCCCTTTTTATTTGTACTTATATTAATGATCCCGGACCTCCTGTTTACCGAAAGCAAAAGATTTGATGGAAAGGAAAGCATGTAGTTCAACTCCTGTCTCCGCTAATTGCCACTTTCTCTTCCTGTCGGATATCTCCTGCTGGCACCACTAGCTTTCCCCTGGCCTTGGTTTCTGTGTGAAATAGATACTGAGAGACAGATGATCGTATAAAACCACTCAAGGCAGACCTGCTGCCTCTTTATTTCACTCTCCCATCAACTTCTTCTATTCTCCACCTTGTCTTCTTCCCCTACCCTTCCTTTTATCCCATCTCCTCCCTCTCTAGATATCAACCTGAACTCTCCTCACAAGGGCCTCGTTGCAGAGAATTCAGCCGTCCTGTCTGACGTTCAGGTGGAGGGAGTGGTGGAAGGAGCGGTGGAAGGAGCAGGAGCAAATGCATTGAACCCTCTCCCCCCCGGCCTGACGGAGGAGGAGGCTGAGGAGCTCCGCACAGAGCTCACCAAGGTGGGGCACAGATGATTACAAGTTGTTTACATGTAGAGTCAGAGTTGTTGTGTGTATTGTGTAGGCAGCTCAGAAAAGAATCAGAGCTCACTGAAGCTTTAATTATTAACTCAAGGCAGATTTTCTCAGGCCTGTGCTAGGTGAATAAAAGCTTTAAGGGATTTCTGATTCCACTGTTTTAGTTCCTGATCATTATAGTTTGCTTATTTTTCATGTGACTTACAATTATTTTAAAATATGCTCAAACATTTGTTCACATGATTTACAGCTTGAAGCTTTATGATTTCCAGATTGTATTGCGGTTTCATCTGCAGTCATTTTAATCGCAACCTTTCCATATATTTCCCCTTGCACTGATACATTTTCTCTAATGGTATTATTATGAATATATTCTGTTTGGCTGCTACATAGTCTAAGGAAATCCATGGTTCATTGTGCATAGAGAATCGCAATGTGGCTGCATCCCTCACATTTCACAAATTGCTTCCAGTTCTTGAAAACTCTTGACCAGTGGGTGTTTCTCAATGTCGAGGAAGGATGCTCCAGAGCCACTATTTAAAGGATGCTACGTCATCGAGTCCTGCCGAAGGACTGTTCCAATGTCCAGGATGCTTGGAATTCTACCGAGGCCGGCGTCCTTCGTTGCGAGAAATTTCGAGGCTGCACATGTGTATCCTCCGCGGTCTTAAAATCCCCACAATGCTTTGCGCACGGACCAATTTCCAAATCTTTGGCGGAAATCGCGCTCCATTTAAGGTGGGGCCTCGCATATGACGCACACCTGCACACCTGTTAGCCTGTTCCACCATTCTTCATTGTCCGAGGCTAGGAAGGATTCTTGCCTCGCTCCTGAAGGACCTAACTCGGAGGGACATGTCCTACCAAGGAAGCGTCCTCGACATTGAGAAACACCAAGTGTCTTGATGGAAAACAGTATTTTCTAACAAGCATTTGCTAGAAAATACTGTTGGGATGATTTGAGTAGGATCCTACGGTAATGGATCGCCAACCACCTTTGTGTTTCTCAGTGATTGAGAACCATGAACAAAGGACACTTTTAACACTTTCTGGTGACTGTTGTGTTTTAAAGGTGGAAGAGGAGATCAACACCCTGCGTCAGGTTTTGTCGGCCAAAGAGAGACACGCCCAAGAGCTGAAGAGGAAACTCGGCCTCAGCCCGCTCAACGAACTCAAGCAGAACATCACCAAGAGCTGGGCGGACGTACAGACCTCCAACGCGTATGTAGCAACACAATTAAATGTACAGTGTAACCTTTGGCTAAATCACTACCAAGCAAGTTTATTTTTAAATGATCTATCCCACACAGTCTTCATCAATTTGAATTTAAGTGTGTAGTAAACAATTATTCAGTCTTTTTGTTACTTTAGCACCTAGTTACCTGGTTGAGTAGCTTCAACACACACACCCTGAAAGATACTATTGTGAATAGTAAGTTTTGCATCTTTCCATAATTGTTTCTTTTATTACCAATTATTTTGTTAGCTTTAATAATTACATCTTCTTTATCCAACAGTAATGTGAATATGGAGCTACACTTACTAGAAGATGTTACAGTTATAGACTCTGGATTATTATTTGCTGCTTTGGGAATGAATTAAGGCAACAGTCATTATATTATATTATATGTTTCTATTGAAATAAACGCTTACCCGAGCCACAGTTGTTAAATATTAAGAAACGTATATGATGTAGGGCTGTGCAATTAATCGTATTTTAATCTCGATTACGATTTTGGCTTGCAACGATTACGAAAACAACGTAATCAAAATAAAACGATTATTTTTATTTAAAAAAAAAAAAAATGTAATTTTTTTATTTTATTTTTATTGGTTTTTCAGTTGAATTATACTTAAAGTTCAGGGTAATCAACTGTTCAAAACATACTGTTCAAAATATTTTTTTCAATAAATGGATGTTTTCAAAGTAAATGGATAAACGTTTTTAATAATCGTGATCTCAATTATTGACCAAAATAATCGTGATTATGATTTCTGCCATAATCGCACAGCCCTAATATGATGTCGCTTTTAGTTCAGGATATGGGTAGAAAACATCAGTAGCTTTGTCTACCTTGAAAGGGGCATCACCCCATATGCAGACATTAAGAAATATTTAACACGATGGAAGACTAAACATATTTTCACCAATGCAGTTTGCGTTAAGGTTCATACTGTACATACGTTTCCATCCCAAATGGCTGTGAGCACATCACAGTGAGATGAATCGGCACTTTCTCTGATAACGAGGGCTTTATCAGGAAGAGCCAGTCACAGCGTGACTCACCTTGGTGACGCATCCCGGTTCTGAAGTCTTAACATTACTTCCTGCACAGGTTATCCATGAGGACTGTAAAGCTTTTAAACCGATGACTTCAGCAGAGGAACAGTTGCTCTGTTTGAGATTAAGTTAAATACTTTAACATCATCAAATCATTGTATGTTAGTAACTTAAATGGTAAGATATTCTTAATTATTTATTTAGCAGCCATGGTTTTTGCCCTCAGCTGGTGGTATTCACTATTAAGAATCTTAATGGGCACACAACAAACTTCTCAATAAATGATGAACGTCATTATTTTTCTGATAAAACATTGAATTACTTAGCTGCATTTAAAAGATGAAATCATGTATCAGTTCAGAGAGAAGTAGAGTGTCTCTTTCCCTTTATTTCATTTATATCAATTCTATAATTAAAAAAACATCCAAAACAAAAGTCAGAACCCAACAGTGAACAGAAATGCTTTTGACCTCCAAACTAATATGACCACATGTATTTCCTGTACACTTGCCAGACAATACCTGACCCGTATAAAAAAACAGATGCAGTTCTTAAACAGCTTTAAAGCCTGAATTGGCTTCTAAAAGATGCTGCTGCTATATTCAATTCATTTTCTTTAAATTAAATGTTTATTATTAAAAGGACCACACAAAAAAAACATTATTTTCAAAAAGAGGAAATACAAATTCTGCGTCATTGGACAGCTACACAAATAATAATCAACAGACAGGAAAAACATGACACAGTCACTCTAACGATTATAAAGTAAGATCAAAACTTGGTTCAACATATTTAAGCCAGCATCATTATTCACACAGTTGAGTCGGGTAGCTTCATTTAAAGCCACATCAGTGCTTTGAGATTCTATTGCTCTTCCTTAACCCTCCCTCTCTGAGCCAGCTTGCTCTGAGTCCCAGCAGAGCGTCGCAGTGTAACACCCTCATGTCTCTGTTTCTAGCTTTGTGAAAACCACTGAGAAACTGGGCGAGTGGAATGAGAAAGTTACCAACTTGGAACTGTGAGTCTGTGCACTGTTTGCTGCGTCTGGGCTCCCGCCGTGTTTGCTCTCTCACGCTCTGAATCTCTTTCACTAAAACACTCTAACCTTCACCGTTCGCACCTTCTAACCATGGTTGGGAACGCTGGTGTTGACCTTTGTGTCTGTCAGGAGGAAAACTATTCACCTGTCGTCTGTTCAAATCCTTTTTTTTTGTACTCATGTTGCAGGAGATGATGTTAAGGAACAATACCAAATGAGTGTGCATTTATCTGCTGAACTTCAGGTTTCTATCTCGAATGCCTGTGTCTAAAAGTAGTACTTCCAGTTTGGGCTGCATGATTATGGCCGAGATGAAAACAACACATATTTAACATAATTATTGATAAAAGCGACAATTATATTTCTATACATATATAAGGCTTTCATAATTAGAATAATTGTGCAGCCCTACTTCTAGTAATACTGTCATTGGTACAAGTTCCTAGCTGATGGATTCCTAGTTTGTTGGCAAGTGGTTTTGAGCCTGTTCGGGAGCTTTTTGGGGTTTATGCAACGTTCTGTGTCAGATCTGGGATCTGTACTTCTGCTGCTGTTAGAATTTGTTGCATATATGGCTAGACTTGTAGCACTGAAGTGGGATTTGGTGTGTGTTTAAGTTTCTCGCCCTACTGCTTTAGTTACATAACTGATTCACCTGAATCTGTGTTTGTCTACTGAGGACCGTGACGCACATTTTTGATAATGGAGATTTTTTTTAAGGTGGAACTGTAAGCTGACGTGGCAAGATGGTTTTTAATGTCAATCTTTGCTGATAAAAGTAAAACTACAGGATTAAATGCATATAACTTTCTTCTAGTTTATCATATACATATTTATATTATATCATTACATGTTTGTTTTCTTTCTTTCTCCTCATTTTTACATCCCTCCTATCAGCATCATTCGTCTGTTTTTAGTCCCTCTCCCAGAGGTCAGGTGTCCTGTCTCCCTCGATCCAGAAGTGATGACACGCATCCTCCTCTCGACTTCCTTTTAGAATTTAGAATTCTCAGATACTATATATAACCAGTGGCCACTGTTTTATCTGATTCTGCATTTGAAACAAAGCACTTAAATCACAGCGATGTTTTCTGGGCTGTTGGATCAAGTAGAAGCCGAGGAGTTTCGTTTAAATGAAGTAACCCATTTTTTATTATAATTGTTAACTTTAGCTTGCCTTGCTAAATGATATGTTTTATTTAGTTGTGTATGGTAACCTAGTTGGCACAAGCGGACAACTTGTGTGTTGCAAATCATAATCTATTAAGCCACACTCTAATGTTTGCTTGTTGCATAATGATTTCAGCTTAAGGGCTAATTAGCTACATCAAATCAATTGGCAGTAATGATGTAATTACATGACATGTCATTTGTTAGACGCTTTTATCCAAAGCGACTTGCATACATTCAGTACTGTGGACAATCCCCACAGGAGCAATTTGGGGTGAAGTGTCTTGCCCAGGGACACAACGACATGCTGACTGCAGTGGGACTCAAACTTGCTATCCCCCGATTCGAAGTCCAGCACACTACCCACTGAGCCACAGCCTCCCTGTTATAATTATATAATAACCAGTGATCAGCTGATGCCGCTTAGTAATGCCCGGATTGTTTTGTTCTGCATCCATAACTAAAGCTCTAAAGCGCTGCAGTGTAAGGTAAAAACTGAATCTGAGCTTACGTTTGTTTGTTCATGTTGAAGATAAGAGAATGCTTACAACTCCTTTTCAAAGACACACTGACACTGCCCTACACAAATAATTGGTAGTTGAAATGTCTCAACGACAGATATACTGTGAACAATCACAGTTTCCCCCTCCATTAGTACGAGTTTAGTTTTTTATATTGGTTGACCATCAATAATGCAATGTAGCATGTTACAAGTAAACCAGTTGGCACCAAGTAAAACAAGAAAAGGATCTTCATAACCAGTCTGACTGAATGGGACTATTTTTATCTTTTTATTCTTTTAGTGAACAATCTGAGTTGGTAAAGTTTCCCCAGGAGCTGATGTTTGATTTGTAACCTTGACTCTGTACTGCTGCTGAAAGATTCAATAGTATATATTTGGCAAGAATTCAATCTGAGTTTTCTGCACGTTTCCAGCACACAGCTGCTTCTGCTGCATCGAGGTCTGAAGCTAATGGAATTCTCCATGTGGCTGATCTGATTTGAACTGGATTGTCAAGCTCACTCGGCTAGTTAGGCTAACCTGACAGAGTGACTGATACTGCTGCTGACTTAAACACCTTATACACACACCTTTACAAACCGCAGCAGGTGCACTGGTCTTTGAAGTGTTGGTTCTACTTCCACACCTGGAAATAGACGCGCTTACACATTTCGCACACTTTATTTGTTTTTGTCGTCCACTAATGCCCAGAATAATTGTGGATTATTGCACATATTTGCCTAAAATACCAGGAGCAGGCGTGCACATCATGCTTGGTTTAGGCCAACACTCATAGTGCCAAGTGCAGTTCAGGAGCAGTATGTGTTTTTGTCTTTTACCCACACACATGCATGCGCCAGGTCGTGACTGGCGACCAGACGGGCAGCTCAGACTTGCTGCTGCAGGAACGAGTGGGAGGAGAGGAATGTGAGAGGGAGGGAGAGAGAAAGAGATTGCTTAGTCACATGATATCAGATGTCCAGAGATTGAGAGAGATGATGTACGACCTGCACACAGATCCATTTGAACTGGAGAAAGAAACAAATAGGTTATGAATATGTATGAGTCATGAAGACAGAGTGAGTTTCCATGAAAACTGCAGTAGGAGAGTCAGCTGGTGTACTTAATGTTCAGGTCGGTTAAGAGTGCTTTATTAGCATGATAGTAGAATTTTAGGCATTTTAGGCCACATCATATTGAGGGAAAGAGAAGGTAACACCTTTCATTTAACCAATGTGTGTATTTCACACTGGCATGTAGTTCCCTCTGTATGTGATGACAAATATTGACCACTCATTTGACAGTATTTCTTCATTGTTAGCAACATTTTAGTGCATAAACTTCTTGAACTGGGATTTTTGTGTTTCCAAACAAATCCTTGAAAAAGTAAATGTGAAATTCCTATTCAAGGTATTGTGTTCTCTGCTGTAAGCCAAAACAGAAGTGAAACAGTGAGGTGGTGTTCGGACGGATAGTGTAATGTGACGACGCCGGTGTGCATCACTGTGCCGTACAGTAAGCAGCATTGTGCTGATGTGAGTCGGGACATAAAGACTGGCCTTGTTGGGAGCAGAGCCGTCTCCTGTTAATGTACAATAATTCCTGTATCTTTTATTTTATTAATAGTAGAGATGTCCCGATCCGATCACGTGATCGGGGATCGGAGCCGATCACGTGATTTTCAAAAGATCGGAATCGGGAGAAAAAAATCGGGGATCGGGAATTTTTTTTTTTTTTTTTAATTTTTTTATAAAATATTTTTATTTTATTTAATGTTACAAAACAAAAATGACCATGTTCACGTCTTAAAGTCATCCTGAGGCCTTAGTTTTGGTTTAAAATTACACAACATCATGTATGTGTTGCTTCTTTTGGGCTTGTTTTCATAGAACTGAGGCCTGTACTACGAAGCTGGATTTTTGCTTAGCCGGCTAAATTCAGGGAAATCTCGGGCTTTCCGGTCCTACGACGCTGGTTCTCTTTTTAGCAGGCTAGATTTCCATGGTAACTTATGCTGAGCGGCAAACCTGCTCCGGAGCAGGTTAGGTGGCAGGCTAAGAGATCAACTCAGTGAAAGCACCGCCTGCTGACCAATCAGAGCTCCGTGTGTGCGGAGTTTAAAGCGATCAAGTCATATTACAGGATAGAGGAAATACAGAAAAACTGCCGTTGCAGGAAAGACGGCCGTGAAAATTAATAGAATATCCCCTCCCATCTTCAGAGCAATCTGACTATTATAACATTAGCGTTAAGAAAGCTTACTTAAATATCTGCCACGACATAAGTAACCGGATCAGAGTAACATTAAGTACAGTCCGCGGCACTGTGAGTGCAGACGTCGATGTGTCCCATTATCATTCATATCACATCATAATGTATCATATATTTCCTTATCTGAGTCAGCTTCTTGAGCCGTATCTGGCCGTGCAACACTCACAGTGTCACATACTGTATGCAGAAGTATTATTTTAAGCAACACATTAAGTTGACGAAACACTCGAGTCAAATGTAATTAAAGTCAGATCGTGTCTTAGACGGGGCAGTGATTTCATAAACCTGTTAATGTACGCATTCAAACGCTTTTTCTATTACCAGCTGTATTCACCTTGCAGGTGCAGCTATGTGGCTTTTATCCTGGATAAAGTGTTTAAGTCATGGATGTTTAAAGTTTAACTTCTTCATATTTGACTAATATTAAAGTTCACTTTTCATTCAGGAAGTATGACGCTGCGCTGTCAGTGCACTTGTCCGTGTTTGAGATTGGTCGAATGCTCCAAATACCACCCCTTTCATGTGAACGCGCACCTAACTAGATAGGACACGGCTGGCTTGAGCGATCCACTTGATTACCGGCGTCGTAGTACAGCTTAGCGCCAGCGCGTATGTTTTGGCTTAGGCCAACCGGCTAACTCCAACATATCCAGGTTAGGTTGAACCAGCTTCGTAGTACAGGCCTCTGGTTGCTTATTTCTCTCAAATCTGGCAACAGAGTGGGCAGGGCGCAGTGTCTAATAGTAGCAGTAAGCTAACGAGAAGCTACGTTCAGCTGGTGCCTCGGGAGTCGGGACAGAGAAAATGTCAGGAGTTTGGAAGTATTATAAAATTGAAAGCGAAGGCAGTGTAACAGCCAGATGCAATGTTTGCAAGGCGGAGGTTCCGCGTGGTGGAAAGAACAGAGCTACGTTCAACACGACCAATCTAATATGCCACCTGAGAAACAAACACCAACAGCAACACGAGTACACAGCGGCCACTCAGGTAACGGCACTGAAACAACCAACACTTTCAGAGACTTTTAAAAAGGAAAGAGAAACTGCCCCAGAACAGTGAAAAGGCCAAAAAAATAACAGCCAAGATAGCTGAATTCATCGCGTTGGATGACCAGCCGTTATCTGTGGTGGAGAACGTGGGGTTTAAGGGACAACTTGAATGCTTTTCTCCTTTTTTTTCTCTTAATGCATTGCATAAAGATCGGATCGGGAAAAATCGGTATCGGCAGATTGTCAAAATCAAATGATCGGAATCGGATCGGGAGCAAAAAAAGGTGATCGGGACATCCCTAATTAATAGGCATGAATCCTGAACCAGTTGCTGTGGTTCCTAAACGTTTCCACTTTGCAATAATACCACTTACAGTTGATCGTGGAATATCTAGGAGAGAAGAAATGTCACGAACTGACTATTACAGAACCACGTTCGAAATCAGTGAGCTCTTTAGAACGACACATTCTTTCACACATGTTTGTAAAGGCAGACTGCATGGCTAGGTGCTTGTTTTTATACACCTGAGGCTATGGGACCTGAATTCAATGATTAAGAGGAGTGTCCTAAAACGTTTGTCTATATAGTGTATTTATATTTAGATCAAATCAAACTTTATTTATATAGCCCATTTTAAAATATGAAACATTTGTCTCAGCGGGCTTTACAATCTGTACCGTATATGACTCCCTCTGTCCTTGCAAACCCTGCCAGCGGACAGGAGAAAAACTCCCTCCAAGATGTTGTACACAAACTTATCAGTTTGTCAAAATATGCCTCCCGCATTCTCTGACTGTCTGCACGAGAACTGAAAAGTTATTTCAAATCTCTGGAATGTGGTTAGACAACTCTTCTGCAGCAGCACGTCTTCTTGTAAACAGCTCTGTCACCTAATTACACTATTCAAGCTGTTTATTCTGCTGAGTGAGACGGGATCAGGAGTATCACGACCATCAGTGTGTAAAGCCTCCACCAGTTGACTGTAATGTTAGTTTCCTTTCATTATTGTGTTGTGTTGGAGTGCTTCCTTATCTGCTCTTCTACAAACACACTTCCTCTCATTCTGTATACGCTCAGGCAGGACTCTGCATGGGCGGGATTAAGCTTGCTTTGTTGCTAATATTGATATGCTGTGCTATCCGGTGTTTGTTCTATTAACTTTTTTAGTGTTTACTGTGAAACGGTTTGCTTCACTAAGGCATCAGGTTTTTCAGCTTTCCACTAACCGTGTCTGTCTGCGTCCCTTTGCCCTCAATGCTGCCTGTCAACTCAATTGAAAGACTAATAGACACAAAATGAGCTAAACCCAGTTTTAAATGACCTTTCCTTTATTACCATTATATGAAAGCAGTTTGATCTGGAAGTGTTTCCTTCTCTGTTGCTTTGACAGTTTGCTCAGTTTTGCCCCGCCTTCACAGTAAGCAGAATGAGCCAGCAGAAGATTGTTATCTTTTGTAGATATTGAAAGAGGAAATTCAATGTTTTGTAAAATCTGCTAGTATAGCATGTGCAACACAGAAATAGTATTGTTATCATGCCACACATTATTTAGTAGTTCCCTGATACCTTGCTACCCCATATTATTTATTTACTTCCTTAAAAGGACAATGTCACCCTCATTTTGTCTTCTTTTTGTTTTGAGGGTGACTTAGCTGTGTTAGCTGAGGGAGGAGGCACTGCTGTTGTTAAAATATAATATGATGTGAGGAAGTTTCTCCACAGCTTAGAAGACTTACGTTAACGTTATCTCATCCAACACGCAGGCTTAGATTATGTCTATTTTTCTTACTTCTGGAGATGGACCTGTTTTAATGTAAAGATCGTTTTGTGTCCGTATACTTCCTGTTCCTGAGGAAGTGTCTGTATTTAAAACAGCTTTGAGGACAGCAGAATCATACACTTGCATATGGTTAATGGTGTTATTTTGTTATTGGTACAATAGAAGAACAATTTAAAGTGCACCTATCATGCTTTTTTTTTAGGCAGTAGAATAGGTCTCGGATATATAAAAATATATTAAAAACATTTCTATTAAGTGTTTTTCTCAAAATACCAAACAGATCACCCATTCTAGCCATGCCTCATATCCCTCTATTTCACTTCCTGTTTCAAAAGTGCTGATTTTGGGTATAAAGCTTTAAAAAAAAAAAAAGATAAAAAAGGAGGGGGCTGAGCTCATGCGGGACCCGGCAGCTACTGTCTAAACCAGGGGTCTCCAACCTTTCTTCATCTGAGAGCTACTTTCAAAAAATGAAAGTGGCCAAGAGCTACTTGCATCACATCGCTTACATTTATTCACATAGCCCTCATCAGTTGAATTAAGCTATACTTTTGTACACGTGTGAAATTGCAATACCTAAAGCTTATCAAAAATCTTAACTTCACATCACCACCTTACAAGCATTTCACTCTTTTGTTAGTGAGATGAATGGCACTGCATGGAGTCCACCATACAGGTGTACTGTATGCTGGAGTGTACCCACTTCGGTTCACTCTAATAGAGTCATTTAAATGTTCATCAGTCAGTATTGTTCTGTATTTAGATTTCATTCATGTCAGAAAAAGCTGCTTCACAAAGGTATGTATAACAGAACCAAATAAAGCAGACATTTTCAGTGCTGCTTGGTGAATGTTCTATAGTTTTCAGGGTCTACAAGGCTCCAGAAATGTTGTGAGTTTTGCTGAGACTTAAGCTGAACATTATTTTGGAGATCTCCACAGGATTGACACTGAACAGTTGTTCAGCCATCTTTTTCTTCTTCTTCTTCGTCTTGACATTAAATTATAAACCATAATAAATCAATTGTATAGGTCTAGCCTCCCTATATCTGTGTGTGAAAATGGTTCCATCCTCAAAAACAAAAAACTAATACTTCAGCAGTCTAGCTGCAGCTTCTAGCAACGGTCTTCTGTTAAAAAAAAAAGACACTGAATGTCTTGAATGTGGCATCACACACAGGACTTGAGTCTGAACACAGCAGACAACAGGAGTATTTACAACAGCATTATAAAAACAAAAATAGTGCATGTGGGTGCACACTTACATTCTCTGTCTTACTGTTACATAAATCCCATGAATGTATGAGATTAAGTTAGCTTCAACATATCTCAATCAGTGATTAAGTGAATAATAAAGTTTCTATCGGGTCACTATCAGCCTGTCACTCATTATTTTCAGGGAGGGGGCGGGGTTTGGAGGAACGGAGAGGAGACGGTGATCGCGGAAGCTTTCCTCCTGCCTTCACAAACTTTACACAAGTATTTATCAACTGAAAATAGCAAGAGGACATTCATACTCTGCAATCCAAGACTTGATTAAATCCACCAAAAACCTGACATGACGATAACGAGTGTTTTTCAAAAAACACAAATCCCTGCCTGTGTGTCTCTGAGCCGCAGCGACAGGGCCTGATTCAGAGCGGGTCATTCTGCTGTTGGTTCTGGACTGGTGCTGGTGGAGAAAGCAGACTGCTCCGTGTGTGTTGTCGCTGTGCTGCTGTCACGTCTGTTCCTTGAGCTCTGCGTCACCGACCATTTGATATTCGTGTGACAGAAAAAATTCTAAAATAAAAAAACCTTATTGTCCAGCCGCGGCCGAAAAATCAATAAGCAACCTTACTACACTACTATAATCGATAATCGAGCGGCGAGCTACTGAAAAGCTGCCCGCGAGCTACCGGTAGCTCGCGATCGACGTGTTGGAGAGCCCTGGTCTAAACTAAATACTACCGTGATGAAACGCCATATCATGGATTATTTCTGAAACAGTATGGAGCTCAAAGGTTTTCTCTCTTGCCGGTTATACCACAAGGTGAGTTCCTTTTTATATCCAGCTTCTTCACACACATGCTCTCCAGTACAGGTTAGCTCTGAGTGTTAGCGATGCTAATAACGACCATATTACGTCCAAAACAGTCGGGCATTGTTTCTGATAGCAACGTTTCTGATAGTGCCGTGGGTGTAAAGCCAGCCTACATTTCCGATATTACGTCATATCGGACGCAAATCTGGATCAGCTCCGTTGTACCCCCGTTTTTAGAGATTTGGGTACGGAGGAAAAGAGAGAGGGTTTTATTTTCTGACGCTGCGTGAGTTCCCTGACACACCGGGGACACATATTTATTTATGTATAAAAGACATCAAAAAGTGCATTTTGCATGATAGGTCCCCTTTAATGTTTGAATACATTTTACTTGTATTGTGCCCAATCTCCTTTTATGGTGAAGTTTTCCATTCTGTCGACCTAATGCTGTGTGGGTCATCATAAATATTCTGCACTACAAAATCATATTTCTCATGTTTTCTTGAACTGTCCTCTGAAATTGTAACATTTGTTTGTTCTTCCCATGGAAATATGCTGTAGCAGACTCTGCTGAAAGCTTGAAAAATGATCTCACTTTTTTCATCCTTTTTAATATATGGGAGAGACAAATGTTACTTCTTTGATTTTGCATGGTGTTTCAACAAAAAAACATTTACTATCCTGGAATATATTAAATGTGTAAGATCTTTGAAATCCGACTCAACATCCAACAACCTTCAGGTCCGATGAGGAGTGTGTGTTGAAGCTGTAACTCTATATGACTGACCCTTGAACTACTGTACTGTACTGTGAGTGTGTGTCTCCCCCTGTGTCATTATCCTGCCGTTGTGTCTTCAGATATCTGTCTGCCTCAGCCACTTTGGATGACATTTCCCGCTCTGAAGCGTGAGTTGACCATTTCTCTTTTGTGTTCTTGTTCTTGTAGATGATCTAAGGTTTCTTTAAGTTTGGTTTCCCTTTTGGGAAATTATTCTCTTTTTCATTTTTGCTTATCCATCATTTTCTTTTTGTTTTCCTTTTACTGTTGTGATGGTGAGGGTGTTTGTGGCAGTTGAATTCGGGAACGTCTATTTCTGTTCTATGGTGGAAGACTCACAAAAATGCCTCTAAGACAAGTTATTCATGTTGTACTTAGATTAGCACTACATCCAACACATTTTGAATTAACACTGCTAAAACTTCTGTAAGGTTCCCTTTTAGTGTGTGTAGGTACTGATATTTGCACCATCTGTTGCTGAGACTTGTGTGTTTGAGTGGATCAGCTGATCATGATGTTGGCTTCTACCCATAATGTGTGTATGTTTATTGTGTGTGTGCATTCAGCCAGGGAGGTGGGGTTATTTCATCCTTTTGGTAGCTTTTGCCAGTTTAGATGTATTGGATTGGGTGATTGCTTATGTGCATATTTCTGATAAATGTTCTGAAATGGGTGTATTAGTGTGTGTTTAACCACACCTGGCCACTGTGTTAAACCCAGTAACACTTGTGGATTCCCAGATGGTGCTACTCCCCCCATAGTATCCACTAACCTTAAGGAGTAGGGCAATGTTTTAGGGAACGGATAACTAATATCTGCTTTGTGGTGAAAGTGAGATGAGAAGGCTCATACCACTCTAATGCATTGAGCTATAAAGGAGGTGTTGGCTGTTAGCTTAGCTTATTTTAGCATGAGAACTGGACAGCCATGCTAGCTTCATCCCCTGCTTATTTGTTTACTTTGAGTCACTGAGTGGTAAAAGCAAAGAATGTCCAAAGTGTCAAACTATTTATTTATTTATTTAAAAAAAGAAAGAAAGCTTTATTTCCGCAAACTCAGATTTTAAAATCTTGTTATCACTTTTAGATTTAAGGTTACTCAAGGTCGGTTTTAATTAAGAGCAACCTAACACCAAGCTGAAAAACATATTTGGAGATCTGACCACACAGCCGTGGATACCACTCACCTTTCACTTGAGGTTAGGAGATATGGCCAACTTTCATCTATGAAATGCATTAGAAATGTTTTTAGGACTTTGTGTGCAACACAGTTAAGCATTCATAACTAAACACCTGCACCACATGACAGCTTTATTTGGAGCCGTTTATCATCTGCAGCTTGTCTCTCTCTCCGATGGCAGACTTTCCCCCTCATTTCTAAACACTTTTGCCTTAAATCTTGTTTAACAACACTTTGTACATCCTACTTTGTTGGAAGCTTTACCGATAATAACAATGGTTTTCCAGTGGACTACATCATCCTGCCTACATTGTTCCTGCTCTGCTGTTGTTGTTGTTATTTTCAGTAAGAATTAAGAAAAGGGGGAGTGCCATAGACTAAAGGGACAAGGGCCAGACTGAAGTAGAAAAATAAGAGTCTGAACTTTTATTTATTCAAATTTGTTTTGCATTTCAAGAGGAGTCCAAATGAAATGAAGTCCAAATTCTAAGAATAAAGTCAAACTCAAAGGACTGGTGCCAGGATCAGTACAAATAAATCCAAAGTTATTTTCTCTTTTTGCATTTTGAGAATAGTCTAAATGTTTTTGTTTCAAAGGATAATTCGACTCAATTTACAGAGTTTAATAAACCACTATAACAGATGGATTGTGATTGTCTTTAGAAGTACTGCTTGTATAGTGATACTTGGTGTATTACCACACCCTTAGAGATGTGTCTGTCTGAATGTTTGATTTCTTCATCATGCACTCTCTTCCATTGCGCTGAAATGTACACCATCCGGTCCTTGGCTGCATTGGGACATGCTGAATCATTTCTGCCATTAATGCTGATGCTCTCTGCACTTGGGGGTATTTCTGGAGGAATTGACTAACACTCGTGTACACACAGTAGATGATGAAAAAAAGGAATCTTCAGTTTTATTGGCAAAGATGACTTTTTTTCCTTACACTCACATTGTTGGCCCTTAGTTGCTGTGGCCTAAATTCCTGTGACTGTAATTCTCTGTGAAGACTAACCATTGGCACGGTAGATACTACGCTGTGTGTGTTTAAGCTGTAACCTAAATCACTGTTAGCTTTTGTTTCTGTGTTTTCTGTGTCAAATGGTTTGCTCTAATTTACCTCTGTCTTTTCACCCTCCTGTCCTTCCCCCTCCCATCCTTCTGCTTTGTTTTCCTACACTTGATTTATTTCTGCTCTATATCTGTCTTTTTTTTTCTTCTCTGTCCATCCTTCCTCCTTATTACTTCCTGTGCCTCCTGTCCTTTTTTCTTTCTTCCCCCATCGTTTTCACCATCCAAATCTTCTTTTTCATTTCACTCCAACCATCTGTCCTCCTCGCTGCATTCCTCGTTTCTTGTATCCATTGTTCTCCTTCCATTCCCCTGTTCCCATCTTCCCTCCTCCTCTTCCTCTTCCTCTTCCTCTTCCTCTTCCTCTTCCTCTTCTTCCTCCTCCTCTTCCTCTTCTCTCCTCTGTGCAGATACAAGAAGACTCAGGAGACTCTCTCCCAGGCGGGACAGAAGACCAGTGCAGCTCTCTCCACAGTGGGCACGGTCCTCAGCAGGCGACTGGGCGACATGAGGTACGGTGCTGCAGAGCCAAAATGGCCGACTCACTGGCAAAGCTACAAGACAAAATGAGCAAAGTGGACGGTGTAAAAACAGAGAGGTAAAAAAACAGATCTATATTTGATTAACCCTTGGACAACAGGGTGAAACAGAAGTTTAGAACTTTTGACAATACGGCAAGATAAAATATAGTATTTTAGAAACATGAAAAAAAAAAACTGGTTTTGAGAAACTAAAATATGCTCGCTGGATTACTCCAATAAAAAAACAAAAGATCAATGAAACAAAGACAGATACCTGGATAATGCCCAAGTATTGTGTAGATGTTGCTAAACGAACAGATAATTCTGTCTTACGTTCCACTTTATTTCCCAAAAAGTTGGGTAATCAGTTATCATTTTCAAAATGAATTATCATTTGGTGACTGTCCACTGCTCTTTTTTTCTTGAAGCATTGAATTTCTCATGCTGACCAGTGATCAGCTTCTTTAGCATTTTCTCTCCTTTAACCTCGACTAGTAGTGCCGTAGATATTGAGCAGAACCGACTCTAATAACACTAGTCTCTGTTAAAACTACATTTGTTTATTTGAACAGCTGTATGTCATGAAATGTAATTGTACTAACTCAAAGGGGTGGTTCAACAAGATTAAGAGTTGGACGTCTTTTGGCATCAAATACATCATTTAAGGGAAGGTTTATGTCTCGGGAGTCAAATCCCAGATGCTACATTTGAATTTCAGCCACTTGAAACGCTATCTTTGTCTGCCTAGTCATAGTTGGACCATCCCTTTAATGTAGAATACTTTTTCACCCTGGAATCACGCTTTGTAGGGTTTTTATTTGACTTCAAACTGTGCAGATTTCTATAGACATAATGTCCATCAAACGTGAGAAAGCATTTGTTACAAACACTGTTAAGTTCAGCGTCAAAGCAACAACTTCTTAAAGTGTGATTAAGGGGTGAGATAGAAAAAAACGTTAGCTCTGGAAAAACAAACCGACCGAGTGGAAATGCACTAACCCTTAACTCATTAACATCTCACATCTCCGATGGCTCTTTGTTGACTTGCACAACCGTCTATGACTTTTTTAATGTTTCTATTTCACCTCCCATATTTGCTCTTCATGCAAGTATGTGTGTGAGGAAAGGGATTAATGGCTGCCTGAGTGTGTGTGTGTCAACCAATGTGTGTGTGAACCAATGTGTTGTGCCTTAATGTTCATTGGGTCCTCATAGAGTATTCCCAACTAACATATTTCAGCCGTTTTGATCTGGTTTAATGTCCCTGCATGTTACATTCATTTAGTATTATATAGCAAAAGTGGTAGTATGATATTGTTTTTGTTCTGGTTGTTCTGTTCTGGGTGTGTTGTGTAATTTGGCAGAAGAAAATTAACTACACTTGCACATGATAGTTGAACTCTGCATATATTCATTTCAAAGCATATTAGGTCAAATATGTTTATGTTTGGATTTAAAGTAAATTCAAGTGGCCCTTAATACCTCAGAGGCAGATAGCATGACTACTTGGTACTAAAACTGGCCATTATTCATAATGTCCTCTGATCTCCAGTTAATGCAAACTCAAACGTTTTCTTGATAAATGCAGTAAAATGTCCATTTCCAATCAATAAAGCAACAACGTTAATCAGCTATGAATCAAACTGAACACTTGCTCTAGAGTTTTCACCTTAAAAGCTCTCTTAATGGGTATGCTTTGATTGTGAACAACCATCAGAAGGTGGTCAGTATTATTGACTGTCCATCAACATCGATTAGGAGAAAGAACCTGAATTATTTAGAGTAATAACACGTCACATCTGTACAAAATAAATACAGCAGCATAGTGATAACCCTTTATTAGGAATACATTTACCATGTGAGCAGCTGCTGTTGTTGGCTGCACGGTATTCAACTGTCTTTTATGGCAAATTGATTTCATTAATGTAACTTCATATTCAGATTAGGAAAAACGATATCTTAGCTTGTTTTACCTCCAATAGGATTTCTAAATAATCATGAAAGAAACGGCGTTCATATGAACTACAGAAGTGGTCCCGGTGTCCTTAGCTACACACACACATCCCTGCTCCTGCTGATTCCCCTGCTGATGACTCTCTCTCCTGTGTGTCGCCTGTTGTTGGTTTCATTTTGTTTCCTGACGCTTTTTGCTAATGCCCTCTTCTTGTTTTTTTATTGCTTCATTGGTTTGACCTGCAGAGCTCTTCCTTTCTCTAATTCCTTTAGGTAAGACTAACATGTCCGACTAAAAAAAAACAGTCATGTGGCTTGAAATGTGTCATACGCAATTGTTATAATTCCTCATAAAGGTTAAGCTCTGCCTTTTTTTTACTAATAATACTTTGACTTGCATTTTTTGTTGTTATCCTCAATTATGTTATTCCCTTAGATTACCTGAAAGTAATTCAGTTTTGTTTACAGTTGTTAAACTATCCATTTGAATAATATTTTCATTTTTAATTAAAGTAGGGCTGTACCAACGAGTTTGAAGCTTCGTTTATATAAGAATGCAGACGTCTAATGTTTTTTGCATATCTATTTTTTCTGTTACACCAGGTATTTTTTGCACATTAAGATTAGTTTCAAATAGTTTCAGACCCGTCACTCGTGTTATAACCCCATTGCCAATTACCTCTGAGCATTATAAAGTTTACGTTTAAGTAAAATGTATTGAAAGAAGGTAGATGTTTATCATTTAAAAAGTTCAAAACATGTTTTTATCTTACAAAATATTCTGCTTGAATCCATATTTGTTGGTGTTAAGCCTTTCAAAAACAGCTAACCTTTATTAACAATCGTACTGCAACGTCAACAGAGTTTCTTATAACACAATAACGCTACATTAATTCATTTTTTAACACCTTTATAAGGGTAATGACTTTACAAAATATGACAACAGAAATTCAAAGCTTTCCTAGAAAATGTTGTTATAGGCATTGAGTGTTAGAAAAGGCATTTGGTACAGCCCTACTTAAAGTGTATTTGAATAAGAAATAAAACAATACGTCAAGCGCTAACTAATAGCCACCAACGTGTGTGTGTGTGCGTGTGCGTGTGTGTGTGTGTGTGTGTGGCTTGCTAACACTTGCACTTCTGTCTCCTCTCTTTAACGCTTACAAAGTAGCAACTATTCCATTCGCCACTCGATAAGTATGCCCGCCATGAGGTAAAGTAACACCAACCTGTAACACACATTGCTTTTATTAAAGAACTGTATTACTGCACTGCTGCCGCCTTTCTAAATGTTCTTTATCTGTTGATGTCAAAGCTTGTTTTGTTAGTGGTTGTTTGGCCTGATTTCTCAGTTTACTTAAATACTGAGTGAAATGAGAAGATTTTTCATAAACTTTCCTCACAAGGGAATCGCCAAATGTGGTTATATTTTTCACCAGCTTTTGACAGCATGCAATTATATATATATATATATGTATTTGTTATTTGCTTGTGATGTGTTGAATTTGTTGATCTCCTGGGAAAATGTTGATTTTTACTTTTGTCATATTCTGCATTATTTCATTTAAAAATGTTTTATTTTTGTGTTCCTTAAATGGGTTGGGGAAACTAAGAAGATTTTTTAAATAATTATACCCTATTCTAAACAACACGTTGTGTCAGTTACAGACAGTTTGTGTCCGTATTACTATGGCTACAGTGAAGCATTAAACCAATCATTTTTTATTGAACTAGTCATATTATGAGCAGATATACTTCTCTACAAAATATATCCTGATACAAAGACTACAAAATGGAAAAACACACGTTTAATTGTTCTTATTTGATTTTGTGTTTCATTTAGCTTCTATGTGTTGCCATCACCAGCTGGAGTGTCCTGTTATCTTGCCTTTTTAATTGTCTTGCTGATGCATGTAACATTGCATGTGTGTGTATTTTGTGAGTGTAACATCGTGTCTGTCCTGCAGGAACTCTGCGACCTTCAAGTCCTTTGAGGACAGAGTGGGGACCCTGAAGGTGAGAAGACTGTTTTCAATTAAAACAATAAACATATTTTTTAAATAATGAATTAATCGTGAAAGTGATTATTCATGCAGAAATTGTGTTTGCAGCCTCTCAGATGTGGAGACTTACTGATTTTCTCTGTTTTTACATCATAATAAACGGAACATCTTTGTTTTTTGGACTGATTAAAACAAATACTTTAAATGGCAAAACATTGGGTAGACTTTTCTTAATTTATTTTTCCAGTTTCTAACTTAAAGACCAAGCGCTTCTTTAATAATCTATAACCAAATCAGCAGATTAAAAAGGAAAATGACCTTAATTTGCAGACCTATAGTGTATGCATTCTATCTCCTTGTCCCTATCCCTTCTCAGATGTGTGTTATTGATCTCAGGATAGGCGTCTGTGCGTGGTCAAAGTGTTTTCCCCCGACAGGAAACAGAAACTGATGAGTCAGTATATTAGCGCTGACGATCAATAACACTCTCTCTCTCTTTCTCTCCCCCCTCAGACTAAGGTTGTCGGCCCCAGAGGAAACGGGGAGCCCGTCACCCCCACTGACACCACCCCCACTCAGGAGAACCCGCCTTTCTGAATGCATCCCTCCTCCTCCTCGCTGCCACCTTCCTCACGACCTGAGACTGTACTGTTAACACCTCACATTGCTGACCTTCGACCCTCCACCGCACCAACTCCACTCTCTTTGCCCTGAGGTCTGTCAGCGCAGACGGGCGGGGGGGGGCAGGACTCGTGGGGTTGAGGTGGGACGAGCTTCCCATCGCTGCTGGTCCCACGGCCTCCATTCCCCCGCCTCGCTGCGGAGGGAAAGGAAAATGTTTTGTTGATGTCTAAACCTGAATCATTTACATCTTCACCCTATTAAGACCCACATTTGTTAGCTCAAATAAGTTGTCAGACACCTTTTTTTCAAACAGGTTGCTTCTGCAAATCACCTGGCTTACAAAAAGGCATTATTAAGATGTCAGGCTCTTCAACTAAATGAGAAACTTCACATTTCATTCTTAGATGCATCTCTGCAGCAGTATCCAAAATCACAGAGTTTAAGAAGCAGGACATCTTTAGACTGAGGGTGGAGGAGCATTTTACGGGCATACCTAAGATGGTGGCGTATACTGCTACTATTTCTGTCTTCTCGTTTCTGACTACTATCGTGTACTTTAAATCATGCATTCACACTGTGATCACATGCTAGTGTCACCACAGTATCCCTCACCTTCTTTCAAACTTGTACAGTTACCTTCACGACCCGCAGTGTGAACGCAGGCTACACTCGCAGGTCAGCGTGCACACACCCCCCCCCCCCTCCCCACACTTTAGACCTTTTACTGCTACATGCATGTGCATCTCATCTCAGTTGTACCATACCGACCAAGCAAAGAAGACCCTTAAAAACACACACACGCAGGATGTAAAAACAAAAAATAAACCGTAAACCATTTTGTATTACAAACTATTTTACACTGCTTTGCATAATGTTTTTACATAACTTTTATCAATATGTATAAATATATATGAATAAATATATTGTCACTGATACTGCCGTATGGTGGAAATCAGGTTGGGGGGGTTTAGGCAACAAATAAATGCCAGAGGAGGAGGAACACACTTAAAACAAACACTATGGGTCAGTTTCACAGGCGTGAGTTATTGTCAGTCAGGAGGTTTTTCTTCTTTAAACACGTTTTAAATGTTTGTGAAACTGACCCATTAACAAGCTGCAGTCTACTAATCAGACGAGAAGGAACATAATCAAACCGGTTTCATTTAACAACATGAATCTGGATGCTAGCAGGATGCTAGCGTCGTGATTTGCAAGTGAAACTAAGACCTCCGGTCGGAAGTGAAACTACCTTGACTGTGTTTCTTCTCTGCTCTGGTGTGACCGCTGTTCCCTTCCTGTTAACACACAGAACTCAATGTGAGACGATGCTTTGCTCTGTACACTACCTGGTGAATGTCAACGCTTCTCTATCGGCCTTATTCACTTTAAATGGTTCACCTGTTATTATAAGTTAGCTGGTAGAAAAGAGATGTTTTTTTTTTCTTTCTTTGTGTTCCTTTTTTTTATTAAATTGTACAGACTGGTTGTAATGAAGGAAGGGGAGTAAGGGTTGTTTAGAGTCCGATGGGCCACAAAATGTGTCATGAAAAAATCTAGCTGCCATAGAAGGAACTTTGCCAACAACCCCTTAATGCACTCCTGTTAACATACTAAATGCTACTAAATGCCACACACACTGTGCATTAAGCCAAACTCACACACACTCTTTGTACCAAATCACTGTTGCTCTGATTGGTTTGCCCCTGAAGGTATAAAGCCGAAGCTCTTACAAACTGCACGTCCTCAGAAACGGTGGCATTAAACCTGAAAGCGCAGAGATGTGCAGCACTGTCACTTTTCTCCTAAAAACAAGAAAGTTGTGGGTGTTTTTTTTCAATAAAGTTGCAGATTCAAAGGCAACAATGCCTCTGGAGGTTTGACAAAATGTAACACTCCTATTAGTTAAAGTTCCAAGCCAAAGAGACGGGGCAACTCAATTAAAATTGCCAACATTAGTCTGAAATTGTAAGTCAATCTCAAGTTGTTGTTGAGGATGATCATGTAAAAATGTTCTCAAGGGAATTAAGATTTTTCCATGTTGCCAAAAAATTGTAGAAATGGTTTCTCTGGTATCCTCACTGCAATGTCTCAAGTAATCATGTGTAGACACATTTTATTGAGCTGGTAAAAAAGGTTAATTCTGAGCTCTTATATACCGTAATATTTTGGAAATCATTCAAGGATTCACGACAAAACTTCCCAGCTTGTAGTCTAACAAAAAGAGCAGACATTGTTTTTAAAAGACATAGAAACAGTTCTCGGTGAAGGAGCTGGGCTTCAAAGAACAAACATTAAATAAAAATATACAAACTGCTTGTAAGCAAAACTTTCGGCTTCAAAACTGCTGCCAGTTTATCTTAAATGTTTTTCATTGTTTTGTGTGTTGCTCATTTGGTAGGTCATATATTACTGTTGGGTGATTTTCTGTTTTCTTGTGGCTTTCCTTCTGTTTGGAGCGGTGTACTCTAAGGGAGGATTTGTTATTTGTACAAATTATTTGCCATCAGTTAAAAAACAAGTTGCCAATATTTAAATATCTGTTACAAAGATCTTTCTCTTTCTGCCTCTGAATATCTGGAGTCTCTGACTTTCTGCCTCGCCAAGATACAAAATGTCGTTGCACACTATAAGAAATATTTATCTCAAGTCATTTACTACAGGATTTACACATAACATCATATTTTTCATGAAGAAAGTAGAGAGCATACTTGATGCTCCCTGTTGGGCAATGATCCCACTTTGTATAGGAAAAATAAATTTTTAAATAAATCCTAAATTAATTGACTTGAGATGCTTTTGTTTTTTTTACAGTGTAGCTGTTGCCTGTTTATTGCTGCATTCAGTTTTGTGAGCCTGACGGAAAATGATGATCTTTTGTTTTGGGTGCCAATGGGAAGTGCAGCACATGACGAGCATGCTCGGAGAGGACAGTAGACTTATAGCTTTATTTAGGTCCTGGGCCTAGCTGATGTAGAATATGGAAAGGGATCAGATTTGGAAAAATATGGTGAATTAATTAAAAAACATTTGGTTTTGTTGTATATGTTTGGATATCAATAAAGCATTCCTTTAAATGAACAAGTGGTGTTGAATCGGTGTGTCACATATGTCCTTGAAATGTACTGAAGGTAATACAACATTTACAATTTACTTTGTTGGAACATTTTCTTCACTTTACTCTTATCTTTTTTTCGTTTCCTTGTACAGCCAAAATTCAAACAGAAAATATTTACTTTTCTTGTTAATTTTGTTTGTATGTTGAGAAAGATCTTAAAGTCTGATTTTAAGGGGATTTGTTTCATGCAGTGGCCAATTTTTTACCTAAAAATGCAACAATTGGCACAAAGTTGCATTTATTAATTTGCATTAGAAGCATTATAGAGTTTTTACTACGTTATCACACTTTTGCTAGATGGTGTTCAAGTCGTACCTTGAGTTATGATGATACTAGAATGATTATATTAAAATATATAGTTTGTGCATTATGCCTGTGCTCAGTGGGTTTAAATCAAAACTGTATGTAAGAAGACAGTAGTAAATCATTCAAAGCCTTTATCCATGTAACATTACTTCACATTTGTAATACAGTATTGTTCGATACTTGACAAATGGTAAGTTAAACACGAGATCAAAACTGTAGTTCCCTGACCGGGAATCGAACCCGGGCCGCGGCGGTGAGAGCGCCGAATCCTAACCACTAGACCACCAGGGAAGGATGAGGGCGCTGTTTCCTGTGAAAATTTGATAATGACACAAACCAAGACGTCTGAACATAAATTGATTTAGCATCAGCTGGATGCACAAAGTCAGTCTGGAGTGAACTGCCTCGATGTGTTGTTAATTAAGACATTCAACCCAACATTACTTTGGAAAAATATATTGTTTGGATTCACTGATCTCTTTGGTTTTGAACGGATCATTTGTAGTTTGTGATGCTAATGGTAACCAACATTTCCCCCCTGAATTCTCGTTAAATCATTATTGTCTATCTTCTTAACTTGATCCTACCCAAAATGCATGGCACCTACATGGGAGGGAGGAGGACGGAGTACCAGCCTTTGACTTTAGCCAAACAATTCAAAACAAACATTTAGAAATGTACTGAAAGTCCAATCTTTATTTTAAGGTGCCTCTTCTTCTTTTAAATTAAACCTTCATACATGAAATATTAGGAATATGATAATAATATTGTCAATCTAAAAGAACTGAGTCACTCTTAACAGTTCACTTTTTATTTTCGTTATTGTCTAATCTAAAGCATTTATTAAACAAATGTTCCCCTTCTCATATTCACAGTGTGGTTCAATTGAGACATTGAGGTTTTTACCCGCGAGGAGGACCAGGCCTGATGGAGGAGGACCCGCAGGAGCTGCACCTGCAGAACTTAGCCCATGCTGGGGCCCAGTCTGTCACTTTATTTGACTAAATGTGTTTACTTATACATTTTATACAATTCAACACCTTCTGTCTATTATCTGATTTATAATAATAACATAATAATTGAAATAAAAAAATAAAATAATAATAATATAATACATAATATAATCATAAAAAAATACTTGAAAATAAAGATATTAAGATATTTAATATGAAAAAAACTGTATTACTCAAAATAAAAAAATAAAGAAATAAAAAAAAGAATTAAATACGCCTCCTCTTTTTGCGGCCCTCAGATTAATTTATAAACAACGTAATTACTTATTTTCTTTTTTTTACTTGTAGTACTGATACCGTCCACTAGACTCCTAGGACCTAGTTACGTCGCGATCTGTGTACATGATTTCGTGCCTTTACAAGCCTAAAGGTTGTATTTATCATCTGAATTTGGCGAAACAAGTTTAATATTCTAAAAACCAAGACTTTGTTTATTTGAAATCAGATGAAAACAAACTGTCACGGACCCTGCCGTGTTATCTATGATTACTATACGCTTTTCATTCATAATTTCAGCGGGAGGGAGGGGGAGCGGCACTGAGGAACAGCAGTGCGGGTTGACAGGTGCCTGTGTTGACATTCCCCTTATTGTCTTAGGTTCAAGTTAGACAACTAATGTCTGAGTTAGTGTTCATGACTTCATGTTTAGGTCATCTTAATATTTAATCTTGATGCACACACATTTTCCGTGCTTTCCAATAGTTTAAAATAGTTTTATTCCATTGTTCAATACAAACATGCCACTTGTAAAAATTAAATAAAATTTCTGTGAACTGATATTTGTTTAGTGAGTTTATTACAGGATGTTCCCTGAAAGATTGTAAAATGTCAATGAAGATGTCAGACTTAGTATATTTGTTAATAATTACATACAATACATGGAATTTGTGTGTGTGTGTGTGTGTTCCAAGCTTTGGTTCCAAGTGAATCTGCGGCCCCCTGGTGGCCAGTACATAAATTATGTGGCCCCCACCACCATCCAAACCGTTTGCGTTTATGCACAGTATGCGCTTTCAAAAAAGTCTTCCGTTCACATGCATTCGTTTCATTTAAAGTGTCTGTTCCAGAGATGGAGTACTCGAGTCCTGGACTCGGACTCGAGTCGGACTCGAGTGCCGATTTTCGGGACTCGTGACTCGACTCGGACTCGCGCACTGATTGACGCGACTCGGACTTGGACTCGTGAATTCTTGCGATGACTTGGACTCGGACTCGTGAATTATTGCGTATGCTGACTTGGACTCGTGAATTTTTCCCCCCATGATGACTCGGACTCCACTTGTACATTGACGCTCCGACTTGGACTCGGACTCGGACTCGAGCAAGTTTTCTATGGAGTCTGATGTCCTCTATCCTGGCGTGTGCACCGGCTGTGAGGCGAGTTCACGTACTGGGCCCCGCTATTCCAGTCTAAAGATGTCTAGAGACACACCCCGCATCGTGCTGTATGCTTTCACACATTCTGCTTCCACATTGGAAAAGAGCAGCGCAAAATGCTCTATGTGGAAACAATATTGAAGAGAAGGCTCCGTAACACATTACTCTAAACATCGAGTTCAGACATATAGGCTGTCTTGAACACTATCATCAGAGTAACATGATCTAATCAATACATAAAGATTCAGCCGATAACACGAAAGCACATGGCTACTTAACATGCAGAATGACGTCATTTTATATTGCTAAGTAGCCATGTGCTTTCTGGGGCTAAATCTTTATCAGTAAACCGATTTAACCGGTAAAAGTTCCTTCAAAATAAGAGTCCCGATCTTATTACTATCAAAATAAAAGTGCAAAACGAAAACTTTACCATAGGAAAATATTGGCATACAAATATAATCACTTCCCTAAAAGGTAACTCATTTTAAACATAGTTTATTTATATATAATAATAATAATAATATTAATATTAGTAATAAGCTTTATATTTGTATAGCACCTATTACAAGAATTGTAGCCAAACTGGCTTCACAGCAGTTCAATAGACAGATTAGTATAACATGACAGGATAAAAGCAATGTAGAGGAGCAGCTACATTTCAACACATATATCCACGAAGATTAATACATGAAGACTTGTGACTCGGACTTGACTTGGACTCTTCTTAGGTGACTCGAACTTGGACTCGGACTCGAACACAGGTAATGATGACTCGGACTCGGACTCGACTCGGACACTCCTTGGGTGACTCGGACTTGGACTCGGACTCGAACACAGGTAATGATGACTCGGACTCGGACTCGACTCGGACACTCCTTGGGTGACTCGGACTTGGACTCGGACTCGACTACGACTCTCCCTTGGTGACTCGGACTTGGACTCGGACTCGAAGAGTGGTGACTCGAGAGTGACTTGGACTCGTGAATTGGTGACTTGACTACAACACTGGTCTGTTCAAACGAGACCGCTGGAAACGCTGGACACGCTGTAGTACATATGCCGGGACTGTAAATGGCGCTGTAACTTCCGCCACAGAATACACCAAAAGCAGCAAAGAAGACTTCGGAGCAGCCCCGCAGCAATGTTGCCATGGCTACCCTTCTGTTTATGCCCCGCGGTGGATTTAGCAACATGTAGTTCATGTAATTCTCCATGTCCACTTGTTGCTGATGGTTGTGGTAGAGGAGCTGTAGATTTTGCACTAACATCTGTAGCATGGTCAGTAGCAGTAGCACTAGCAGTAGCTACTGACAGGAGGAAGTGTGTGTGGCGATTGCTGGTATTCAGCGGGATATAGTAATTTCCTCAGCATGTAAATATATGGATAAATGCAACGGGGAAGTTAACTGAAAGAAACCGAATCTGTGGATATTGCATCGACCGACAAAGAAGCACGTCTCCGTGGAGAGGACGCGCTCAGAAAGAGAGATATTCTCTACAAACACCGGGTGAGATCGCTCCTCTGGGACACGCCGGTCCTTGTGTTTCCTTATTTTGTGTGGATTATAAACATTTCTCTTTTTGCCGCCGACGGGCGCAGGAGCAATGAACAATAATGGCCTGGATTAGGCAGTAAAGACAAGTTTGGTGTATCGCAGAGCGGACTGTTTAATTTTGTTTGTGTTGTTTGGCTGGAAAATTGTCAATATAATGGATCAATGCATGAAATCTGACTCTGTTTATTTTGTTTAAGGAGTATATTGGGCGTTAACAATTCTGGTTTGCCTTTTATAATATTATTTCATTCAAGAACCCCTTGTGCGTTTAATTAACACAGCTATTTTTGATAGTTGATCGTTACAGATGGCTACTGGCCATGCTACAGCAGTGAGCAGCAGAGGTGGGGAGAGGTGGGGCTATCGTTATTTTTTCAGGAAATATTCGTATAGAGGCGATTACACGGACTCGTTTGACCCCCCAGAGAGTTTCGTTTGCAAATCTATCCACCTTGGGACCCGTTATCGTTTGTGGGGTCCGTTTCTATCGGCCTCGTGTAAATAATAGGGCTATACGCAAGAGAAACTATGCAGATACAAGCCGTTTTGTCCTCGTGTAAACGGCACCTTAAACAGATTAGGGTAGTAAAACCACCAGGGGAAGTGTTAGGAGATGTGTTAGGACCGCCTACCTCATTAGCATACGGACACAGAAATACATAAATCAATACATGTAAGTGAAAGTAAATGTAGAAATACATTAAAGAT